GTCATTCCGAAAGTAATTTCGCTTTTTTTCAAACGGGCACCATATTTGATGGAACAAACGTTTCTAAGAGATCTTGGAAGCGTTCGATGCAGCATTTCATCCTTTTTCTAAAAATTATGAAATTTTTGCAAAACAGTCAATGAGCTTTCAGAAAGTAACCAAAATTTGCGACCTATGCTTTTGAGATGGTCAAGATTTTCACAATTTTCCTAAACTTTTATATCAACCCTCCGAGGAAGCAAAAGTAACTTATCTATAAAGCAAACCCTACAGGATGCAAAACAATCTTCTCCTTTCCATAGCTTGTCATACATTTTTAGCAGAATTTTAACTGATGCTACCGATTTCCATACTTGGACATCTAAATCCTCGTAGAACATCAAAGGAAGAGCAGCTCAGGCACTATTCGATGCAGCATTTTCTCCTCTTTCTAATGGGTGTTTTCTGTTTCCGATTCGTTTAGTTTTCGGGTATAAAATTCACAGTTCATTTTTTTAACGAGCCCCAGGCTGTACCCGAAAAACTCGAAATTTAATATTTCGAATCCGTAAACTCTCACTTGCTTTGTAAAATTAATGGCAACTCATAGCACCATCTTGGTGGTCTCAAATTCCGAATGATTATGATGTTTGATGCAACTGTGGCTGTTGTAGGCCTGCTAAAATCCGATAGCTTTGTTTAAAAATCTTTTAAAAAATTAAGGCGAACTATGAAAAAGTAAAAAAGTCGTACTGTATTCTATAAGGTTTGCTCTATCGAACCGTTGCTTAAACTTCTACTGAAGATTGATTTAAGAGTTTTAAAAAATTATGAAACTTGAAAATCCCAAAAAGCATAGGTCGCAGGTTTTGGTTATTTTCTGAAAGCTCATTGACTATTTTGCAAAAATTTCATAATTTTTAGAAAGAGGATGAAATGCTGTGTCCAATGCTTCCAAGAATTCTTAAAAATCTTTGTCCCATCAAATGTGGCGCCCGTTTGAAAAAAGCGAAATTACTTTCGGAATGACCTAATATATTCCCTCTGAATTTTTGAATATATCCAGAACGCAGTGGCGGTCCCATTTCCGTCCGGGGGAGGGGGGGGGGGAGGGGAGGGGGGGGGGGGGGCAAGAGCGACGCACCTTCATAAAAATAAATTCTGGGCTTCTCAAAATTTTTGCGGGTCCCAACCCCTAAAATCTGGAAAAGGGGGCGTTACAAGGCTAAATTGATTTCGAAGTTTTCTAAAAATTATTTTAATTGTTTACAAGAATAGACAAGTCGCTTGCGCATTTTTATGACCCATATAAGTGCCCATTCTCGGGGGGGGGAGGGGGAGGCAATGTACAATGTAAGCTAACAATGTACAGTCTGCCCCAATCCTAACCAGACCAAAATTGGTTTGGCGGGAGTGCGCGTCGCGAGGGTTTCGCGCCACTTCTGCGTCTAGCTAGTCTGCTTTCTCCTCAATATCTTCGCTTTCTGCGACAGCGCGCGTATGCAGCGCAAACCACTAGCGCTGCGAGCGCGTAAATTCAGCCGACGGTTCGGCCTGATCCCGATTGGGGCAGACTGTGAGCTGCGAATACCCCTTTTGCCGAATTTCGTCATTACGGTAGGTTTACGGTATGGAGAGGGGATTTTCAGATTGCTTCAGATTTTGCAGGAACTTGGTCTAGGGAGAGGGTAATTCGACACGCTAATTGAAGCGATGCTCATTTTCCATGAAAGACCTCCTTCCTAAGAGGTTGGGAGGTGCTTGTTTTATAAAATGCTCATCAAACTATATAATTTAAATAGGTTTGAACTCCGACTTGACATTGCGAAATACCAGTTAGCGGTCCCTCAATTTCCGCCGAGGTGTGGACGCGACAAAACATTTTTCGAGTGAATGTGCGTCGCCTTGGCCGCGCACTCCAAAAAATTTCGGGAATGCTTCCTAGAATTTTTTCGAGCCCATGATCCCGAAAATTTAGAATCGGCTGCCGCCACCAAAAGATTTTACAAAGCCAATTTGCTTGCAGAACTTCCGTTTACAGCGAAGCTGCTCCTGAGACAATCAATATCTGAAAATGAAAAGAAATTCTCTTGTCAGCAGCGACGAGCATTTGATGCAAAAAAATGCATTTTTGTGCCACCTCAAAGCGAATAAGGGTTCATACAACTTTTCTTGCAGAAACTGTGATCGAGTTATGATTTCCCAAAATGGGGGTTCCCGAAGGAAAAACGACTGATGATCTTCTGTTACTCTTGAACGCTTCTGTGTCAAACAGGTTTGATAGGTGTTCATTCTTCCCAATCACGGCTTACGTTTCGACGCCTTCTCATCTTCCTAGAAAATCTGAAAATAGCTCAAAGCGTACCTATGAAAAACCGTCAAGCACCATCTCTATTCATGTTAGTTTTCGACCTTCCTCCAACTTCTGATAGATGTTTTGACAGAATATCAAGTTTAGCTGCCGAAATTTTGAATGTGACGTTTTACGTATCGCTGCCAAGTAGATTGTAACACACCATGTTTGCAAGGAGTTTTCTAAAAAGAGTTATGCTAATTTAAACCTCTAAAAACGGGTAGAACTGAACCCAGTGCTTATGATTTGATAGCTATTTCTTAAAATAACAAGTGTAATGTTATAAACAACTGTCGAAAATTGCTTCTTCGAATTAGTTTTTTTCTCCGCTGGAGCGCGAGTGAGCCCTGCAGTTTATATGCATGGTTATGCAAGACTATCGCGCCCGGCTAGTGTATAGTTATTAAAAAATTTTCAACGATTTTTGGAAACCTTTCATAGTAAAGAAATTGCAGTCTTTAAACATATTTCCAAATATGAATCTTACTATTCATTATGCATTATGAACAAAAGAACAAGAGTGAAAGGTAAGAATTGCAATCAATTTTTGAAGTTTTGGAATTCCATAATAATGCATAAGAAACAACAACAAAAGCGAAAGCATATACAAGCACAAAAATAGTCTACATTATGAAGAATAATCAAGCTGAATCATTTATTCGTGAATCGACACTTGAAGTGAATCAGATGGATTAAATAAGGAAATTATACCAATATTGGCGATTGAAGAGAATGTAAATCACTAGGCGCGTCTTCAAAGCTGGTTCCGAATCTGCTTTCTTTTTTTTTTGCGGTACAAATCTCCGAAAGAAGTTAAGAATGTTCAAAAGTCCACATTTGTCAAACATCACGATGCATAAAATTGGGAAAAACCGCACAAAAACATCTAAAAGCGAGTAATCAATTTGGTACCAATTATGTTGTCTGCAAGGAAAGAAGAAAGGCGGTCATCCGCATAGATGTTTTTTAGAGCTTTTCGCGAATTTTAAGCCAATTAAAGCTCGACAAGTTTGGACGTTCAAACGCTCACAACTTCTATCAGAGAGTGTTTCGCAAAAAAAGAAAGCAGATTTGGAACCAGCGTTTAGAGACGCGTCTAATGATGTAAATATCGTCTTCAGTCGGCAACTTATGATGGTATCCTTCCCTTGTAAGGTGTAAATTTGAAAGCTTGGAGTTCCCTAATATGGAAGATGGTAGATGGTCTCTTCTCTCGCAAAAAATCGAAAAGTTTATTCTTATCATTACCGTAAGATTTACGGCATTTCTAGCCACTGAGACCATTTTCGGGCTTGATACAATCACGAGACTCACGTTGACTGAAGGTGCCTTCGCTCACACTTTGAGTGGGATTGAGCAATTCCTTAGTTAAGGGCTTCACTGTTGTACTGTATTGAAACTTCCCGCGCTCAGTTGGAGGAACGACGTTGAGTACTGAACTTGTTTCAAGACTTCAAAAGTTTTTGAAGCCATCCGTACGTAAGACATAGGTGATTTGTTGAAAAAGACAAAACTCAACAAAAAAAATTGTGTAACAAGGGTCCCAAGTTCCTCAAAGTCCGCATCGCTCGCGCGGTCCATGTATCGCACTGGCAGTCGAGTTTCAAAGCCCATTTAAGCTGCAAGGTGAACGAGAAAACCTTTCACAATTAGCTTATACTACTTCCCTGAAATATGGAAAAGTTTTCATGTTGCAGACTTCAGTTATCCCTTCCAGTTTGCAGGCATTTTTAACGGTGGGTGTGAGTCACATTCGGTGACGTGTTGCTGAGAACTCATTCCTATGCAGTGATACAAAAGCTGCGCCCTGAAAAACTCTGGAGATAGTGAGCTCACTACAGTGATTATGTTTCGCAAGAACCTCCTTATCGCTGAGATATCTCATGAAGCCACCGTCAATCTAGATCGACTTCCATGTTTCTACCGTTCGGCGACCTTCGCATACTCCAGATTCTAAATATGAACGAGGTTTCCGAAGGTCCTGGCACCCTCGGGGAATCCACGGAACGAAGATTGTCCGGGCCTCGAACAGCGATTTTACGGGCGAGCACGGATGAGCGGTACCGGAAAAACGCCTATCAAGTGGAGGCGTAGTCAGAATACCGCCTTTTAATTTTAGTCTCGTCCGAAGCAATTTTTTCGCTTAAAAATGCAAATTTTCCGTCGGTCTAGAACTGCTGCGTAAGTCAAAAGTCGCGCTCTCGCAAATGCCTTCGAGTTCTACTAGCAACTACACTACTAAGGCCTAAGGCATACCTCACGCGATTCGACCGAATCGCCACTTTCACGCGACTTGGCGATTTGCCAGATTTCTATAAATTTATTATGCGCACCTCTCGGATGCATATTTGGGTAGCTTGTGTAAGTTGTTGCATATGGAGCAAGTTCTGACCAAAGGCAGCGCATTAACGACGAGTCACGAAGAGTCGCTGTTATGCCAAATCGCGCAGCGACCGGAATCGCGCGAAGTATGCCTTATGCCTAACGAAAGAATTCCTCTCAAACATAATACCTCGCATTTCGAATTGAATGCTGCTCTTTTGCGAAGTCTCGGGTAGACTAAGCTTTACTGCGACATGGAGAACACATTCATAAAAGTATTGAGGAAGGACGTAAAGCAAAAGACTGTCCAATAAAATTAGTAAAAACAAGAACACTGTCGTCTCTACATTTATTTTTGACTAAATTATGTAGAACATGGTAAGAAGCAGAAATGCGACGCAAAATCTGTACTTTACGTAACTATTTTTTATAACATATGGTACGGATACGAAGGATTATAGCAATTATATGCATAAAAGTTAGAATACTGCACTTTAAAAAAGTAGAACTTATTCTGGTGACAGAAATGACCAATCACAAGAACGACGGAACCATCACCACAACCGAAGAAGGCATGATTTGAGAGGTATATACAGCAGTATACATGACGACTACCTCTGATAAAGCGGATGACAGGAAGAATTTACATACATCGCGTGATGTACGTATCTAAAAAGATGCTCTGAACAACGGATCTGGTCTACATTCGTCATACCAACATAATAACGGACAGAGAGATAGATAACTGAGGAGGAATATTTGGTTTCACATACAAGATATTTTCATCTACAAAAAATTCTCTAGATCATCATATATTTGATGGTCCAAAGAATGAGCCAATGAGCAAGATCACAATTCTAAGCAACATTGACAGGCCATCTCGTGTTAGAAGCGCCTAGCTGCATAAAGGAGACTGAAGTGTGACATCCGAACAAGAACATTCTCTAATCTCGATAAACATGGAATGCTCTTTCTTCCTGGTTGAGGTACTTCCGATTAGCTTCTATTTATCCTTCTGTTGATTGCATCCACATAAGCTTGATGGATTTGTGACAAAAACTGATCATCTGTCTGCATAAGATGGATCAGCGCAGCAGCAAACTGTAATAGAGAGATAATAAGCACGTTTAAAATTAGCTCAGAATGGTAGAAAAATCATAACATCGGAGAATCAATGGATGATGACTGGCTTTCTTTTTGATCATATTCGTAGGCCTTGTTTTATCAGGCTTCTAGGATTATAAAAAGCGCAGCAGTCTTTTTTGGTTGGCCCACACTTTTGAAAGACTTCCAGGCTAATCTATGTCATAAAACCTATTCTAACTATTCTGTCCCAAAGAGAACGCCTATAATTGGAATGCTGACGGGTAAGGCCCTTTGAGGGTTTCGCATAATAGAGTTATAATGTCAAGAAAAAACTTCAAAACGTACAATCTTTTGAGCCAATCATCTTTACAAATTTGGAAAAGCTGTGCCAACTTCGTAGAGATTAAAGTGCGGAAGAAGTTGCAACGCACTGAGAAATGAATCTGAAAGATCCCTCAAAGACTATTCCGTTCACAGTTTAATGTTTGTGTTGACTGAATAAAGCAGTCCGAATCTATAAGTATTGAATCTCGATCACTTGGAAGGAACCTCCGTGCTAGGTATTAGTATGATGTAACTACTACGTTTCTTGAAGGGAAGGGATGGCCAGTTGAAGTGGCCTTTTGCGAAGTTTCGCATACGATGTTGAAGGGTGTAGAATGCTGATTCCAAATCTGTCCTCCTTATCTGCGATGCGTTTCTGGACGAGGAGTTATGAGCGTTTAAAAGGAAAAAATGAATGTTTTTCTGGGATAAAAACAGTTGCTAAAATTTTCCCAGTGCTTGAATGAGACAGCCGGAGCTCGGATATATATCATACAAGAGTATTTATACTATAGACTGCTAAAAAGATTACCACTGGTCCATTTATCCTCTAGGAAAAATGTTACTACTGTTTTTATATTATTTGCACATTCAATTTTTTTCGCAATAAACACTCATAACTTCTCGTGCAGGAACGCGCCGCAGATAATGCTGACAGATCAAAAATCAGCCTTTTATGTCCGTTTTATGTTTTCAAAACACCTGAGTGGATTCCTCGCGAAGCAAAACGTCCCCGAGGAAGACCACCAACGAGATGGGCAGACGTGTTCGTGGCGGATGGACCAGGTGAAATATTTTCGCCCGGAAACTCGTGGACGCAGCCACCGACGAAGAGCAAGAAGATCGTGGATGTCTGAAGCGAGGGACATGGATAAATGGCAACTTCTATACTGGCACGTCACGTGAGGATGGGCCATCTATGTATCTAAGGAAGCAAGCTTTATGTCCTCCCATGGTATGCAACCCATCTCAAATGGCCACTTCGACAGACCATCCTTCTCTTGTTAGTGCGCTTATGTTACTACTTTCTATGAGAAGAAAACACATTCAAGGTGGTATGCGTAGGATGAATTTGACGGATTCTAGCAGATGATACCTGCATTTTGTTGAGCGGGGGTGTTGTTGTACCGGAACCAATAGTGAAAGCAGAATCATCACCAACAGCTCGGCTACTCACTGAATCCACCTAAAAAAGCACTGTGAAAACGTTAGGAATAACTAATGAGATCTTATATATAAAGCTGAATGTCTTTCTGTCTGTATGTCTGTCTGTACGTATGTGCGGAATAGAAATTTCTATTTCTGAACCGATTTGGACCAAACTTGGCACACATATACTTCGGGGCAGCGAGCGTGTCATAGGCTACTTTTCGTTATCGATCGATATCGATTTTATCGATTTTTTGCAAAATTTGAGCTACAGGGATGGGAGTTGGCGCACGGGGGTAATCGAGCATGCTGATTACAAATTTATTATTGACAGGCCCGGGCGGAGCCGGGTATGCCAACTAGTAGCATATAAGATAGAATAAAAGGCAGTAAACGGTTTTTCACTGGGATGACGATTATAGCCATGTTTCGCGCTCAGTGCGATTTCCTCGCTCTAATTTTTCGTGGAAAGATAGCGAAAAGCAGTTATCACCCAGGTCCCTCATCTGTATCTCACGATTTGTCAGCCGCAATACAAATGCTACAAAGACGAAAGTGCTACAAAAAACGAACCTCATTTGCATCCGCTTCGCCATCACTACCATGCATCGAACGATTTGAGAGGGCAGCGAGTGAAGCTGCCGATACTGATCCGTACATTTCCTGCTAAGTGAAGGCTTTTAGGCAAACGTGCTAAATCAAATATTGCAAGTTTAGTCACCTGAAACTGTGCATGTTTGGGCTTCGCTGTGCGAAGCAGGTCCTTCTCGAGATCTTCTGATGTCAACGCGGACGAGCTAACCTGCAAGACCATTTGAATAACACCCGCAAAACATGTCTCATTCTTGATCCGAGAAAACATGAGACTAGCCTTGGAGATGAGTTTTGGCTGCTCTTGAATCATAAGTTTCTGCAAGAGGACAGGCATTTCTGTCACACCTGCCCCAGTTGTACCCATGTCTTCATCTTTTGTTTTTGGTTTATCTCTATCTGTCTTTTCCTGTGATATTGATGAGGTATACATCGTGGAGAAGTGGTTTTCACGGTTGTTACCCTCAAGTGGAGTAGGCAATTTGCGCTATGCGCCACAATTGCAAAACATAGCATGGAAGTACAATCTCTACCTGTGCGGATGATGCGGGTTGTGTGGACTTTAAAAGATCCAATAATTGATTAGATTCGTTTGGCGGTGCTACCGATTGTGGCAATGTTCCTGTCTCTTCACTAGTAGGTGGTGCTGGTATCTGAATAATCATGGATTCACAGAGATGAGTGTGCCCAGGTAAAAAAGTCAATGTGATGGCACAAACAATTTATGGAAAGGGGGAGCGCTCACCTTCCCTGATCTGATCTCCTCTTGAAGTTTTTTGAGCAACGAGTACAGACGAGAACAATCCTCAGTGGAAAAGAACCACAGCCCATAGATCTGATCTGAATCGGAACTAGATTATTTGCAAGGTACTTGCATGTGAGTCAAAGTTCTAACATCAAGGACAGTTGGGCACGGCGCCATGCAATTGAAGCTGCTACCCGCTGCGAACTTTTGGACTATTTTGCACTGATTGTAGTAAAGAGAAACTCTTGCTGCATATTCAAGAAATAATTCACGTTTGGGATGGATGGTGCACCACAGCTGTACAGTAGCGGTGACTATGACAGTCTTCCCCGACCTAACTGCAAGAAAAACGCCCCTTCAAGAAAGCTTCTGCCATCGCAAATTAGTTTGAACGGGAAGCAGGAACATACTCTACATGGAGAGAAGCATTTTAGGAACATTCCCCTCAATGTTCTATAAAGGTCAGGCGAACGTTAATCATTTTCATAAAGATGGGTTCTACACTATTTATAAAAATTTTTGGATAAAACTGACTGTCAGGTTTGCAGACGAACAGATAGTGTCCTTCGAGCTTCATCTTTGTCAGAGGATTGACGGGTTCCACCATATCGTCCAAAGATTGCCGATTTGCGATTATCAAACTAAAATTCTCATTCAATCAAATTTCTGACGATACGGTAAATTGACGATAACCTATAATATGGTTTATCAGCCCTTTGTATGATAAAGAGTGCTCCTTCAATGTTTGTCTTTGTCCATGCTTTAGCTGACACATCGAAATTGTACTTCGCCGCATGTGTTGCCTGCAAAAAAATAAAACTGGACTTACTCGAAAGTTCGTATATACAAACCTTATCTAAGATAGCAACGGCACACGGGTCAATCCGCTGAATTGAACAGAGATTTCTCGCCGTCAGGCTCGGATCAACTTTAGGTTTCTGTTCCATTCGTGAGTTCCGTACTTCGCAACCTTCTCTGCTTTGCTGAAGGAAAAATGCTGTTGATGATATGCTAAGGTACCGGTCAGAATTCGCTCAAAAGCTCCCAAAAGCGCCTAAAAGCGCTCAAAAGCGCCCAAAAGCGCTCAAATTTCTCTAATGTCTCTTCACTTCCTCGTGAGGAGAGGTAGAGAAAGTGAAGAGAGGTTAGAAAAATTTGGCGTTTTTGGGCGCTTTTGAGCGAAGTCTGGCCCGTGCCTGAGGCACGCGCCACATTTGATCCGCTTGGTCCACTCAAACCACTTCGCTATTAGTCGCATTAGTAGATTAACGAATAGTAAGTGGATGAAGTGGATCAAGTGAACATCTGCTTCGCTATTCGTCAGTTTAATTATTTGACCAATAGGGTTGAATCAAGTGGATCAAGCGGATCAAGTGTGGAGCCTGCCCAAGATATCTAGTAACGACCTCACAAAGATAAATGACTCTGATAGTAGTCTAAAAACAAAAGTAACTACATTCCATGAAACTTCATATCAAAGGTGCCAAAACGTCACGACTCCTGACGACTCGCATGAATTTGAATTATATTGCAACAACACGTCAACAGTCGTTGAACTCCTTCCGCGGTTTAGCTGCGCCACCTCTGCAACTGGCAGTCGTATCCTGTGCCGCACCTTGTCGTCAGCAAGCAATTGATTTTTATTTCCAGTACTTGTTAGCACTTGTATCTTTCGTCTGTGGAAAATGCAAGTTTGGTTGAATTGTTAGTGCCTATGGTATTTTTGAAGGAGGACTGCAGCTCCAGTTGGCTGTCACGGTACTTGCGTAATGGTTACTGGTGTTTGATCAGGTTTGAGTAGGATCTCATTCGTCTCGTAGCATTTTGTTCGATAATGAATATAGAAGAGCCCAAGACAGTTTCAGTGCTGGATTTTCCCATCATATTTTCACTTTTTTGCATCTACCGCATATCTACATGAGTTAACCGCAGGTTTTGTGTTTCACGCGCTTCTTCGCTCAAAGTTCATGAGTGCTTTATTGCTTGATGCTAATTTAGACTTTGACTTGCATAGCGGATTATGCATATCTGTTCATCGCTGGGAAGTTTTGGAACTATTGCACTTCATCTGCATTTCCAACCTCTCATCACTTTACTAGTTTATGCAGCAGCACTTTACTGTTATTAACATCCTGCCTAGAACTTCGGTAAATTCTGGTCGATGGTAAGAACTAGATCGGCATAGCTAGAGTTGAGATTTGATCCTTGTCGTTATTGCAGCATTCTGGATATTCTACCCGCGTTATTGATCACTAACAGAAGAAGCGGTGAGAGAATAACAGAAAAGCAATCATGAAGCAAAGCGGCATTTGCCTTTGAAGTGAAGTGAGAGCTTACTAATTTAGCTCCTGAATTGTTTTTCATCTTGCGATATCGTGTAGTCCTTATCGACGTGGAGGCAGGCTCTTTTTGATGCTTGAGGATTTTTTTTAGTGCGAGGTTTTTTGCACACATGCAAGGGACCGCATAAATTATTAAAAAAAGAAAGGTTTGGAGACTTAATCGTTTCTTCTTGCTGGATTATTAGAGGACGATCTCTTTTTGCATTGAACGATCACATTTTGAACAGCTCTTGTCTTTGTCTTCCCTGCTTGAACACCTGACCCTGGTGCGTATCTTTTTTCTGCAAGTGAGAGCTTGCCCTTGCCGAGCAGATGCTCGGCACTGCAACTACCTTCCATATCCCCTGTCAGTGTTTGATATTGTACCAAACATAGTCTTACTTTTTTCACAGACAGTATCACCCCAGCGTCAAATTACTTGAATTCTGCTGCATTTCTCAAGAATCTTTTTTTTTCATGTCGTGCTCTCATCAGAACTCTGTTGCCCTTTCACACTTTAATCTGTGGTGTTATTATAATCTCGGATCACGGTACACAGTGGGACGATCCTTGATTTTACAACCTCAAAGTCGTAAACTCCGTTTTCTGTTTTGTAAAATGCCGCCGACTAAGGCAAAAGATGAGTGGTGTTGCTCACCATCTCTGTATGCCCTCAAGCAATAGCCTTTCTTGGCGAATTTTCTGGACACATGTATCGACTAAAGTTTTGGTTAAAATACGTCGAAGTGGCCAACCCGAACAAGGTGCGGTATTGCCTCAGCTCACCTTTGGTCATGGACTATCTGTCTACTCAATCAGTAGAGCTTTCCAAAAATACCGGAAAAATGTTTGGCTTACTAGCTATTTCTAACCAATTTTTGATGTCGGATTTTGATGATGGCTTCCAACGTGTATTTTCTGAATTCATCTTGTGGTGCTAAACCTAACCATTGTGGCTATCTATAAACCTAACCATTGTGGCTGTCTAGTATTCTCTTTGCAAATACCAAGTGCATCTGGAGCGATGTAAAACATAAATTATACGCTATTTGATGTGGGATTGGCAATGAGAAATGCGTTTTTCGATACACATCTGGAGTATGCTAACGTTTTGGGCTAGCATCGAGCTAGAAATGGATCTGCATATTCACATCTGCACATTGCGTGCACGATTTCTTCGCGTATAATGGCTCATAATTTCGTCCACCAAGGCATTTAGCAGGTAAGGAAAACAGATCCTGAGACAGCATTGCGCGGCGTCCAGTTGTATGCAGCTCGTCTAAAGTGGCCACTTCGACCTTTGACCATTTCCTTGTAGGCTTCTTTCCAGGTATATTTCTGGCTTTTCCGTACTGCAGAGAATAATGCGATTAGCTCTCAGTTTGTTGTGGCTTCCTTGAATACCTCCATTTGATTTCCATTTCACTTCTGTGCCAATGCAAGAATGGCCTATGCATCTCATGATTCCGTGACTTTCTTTCCCACATCTAACTTTAGGCACAAGGTACTTGAATTTGAGGTAAGAAGCGCTGGGGTCGGCAAGGTCTTTACTTCACGAAATTTTCTTCGAGCAACAAAATGACTGCCGATGCTAATCGCGCTGAGTCTCTGGTAAGTGCTAGCTCTTAATTTTTGATTTTTTCACTGTAGATGCAAATATATTGCAGATGTGTATGGATCGAGCTCGGGAGGCACTCAAAAGTGGTGATCCAGAAAAAGCCAAACGTTTGCTCAGCAAAGCAAAGAAACTTGATCCCAAGCAGGACATAGAATGTATGTTCTTGTTTTATCTAATTTATGAAACTCTGTGAATTTTTTTTGTTTTTTTTCTGCTTTCTTGATTCGGGAACGGAGTTGCTTGTTTTTGTGCTATCGCAAAAACATGTCCTTCTTGCCATAATCATGCCCTTTGTTGATTGCGATAGATCATCTATAAGGGAATTTGTGCTGACAGATGTGTGTTGATTGTATATGCCTGCATTATTCAGCACTCCTCAGGCTGGAAACTTTCATACTGAGAAGCTACGAGAACCTCAAAAGATCATGAGCTATTGAAGCTAAAAAGAACACATGCACGTGCCTCTCTAGCTCTTTGTGGAGACACGTGTATGACGTATACTTACGGATGTTTGACAACGTCCATGAGTACAGGAAATGATCATGTCATCAGCGAGCTGATTACGTCACTAGTGAAATAACCTTATGTCGCACACAAGGCGAGCTCAGCTGTGCTGGTAAGTTAAGCTCGGTTGGTTCAAAGAGTAATAATCATAACATTAAAACTCGGATGCTATACTTGATTACGAAGTTACTTGGATAGATTGAAATTTGCAATCCGTTTCCACCTCAGCTCGAAGATCTGCATTATTGGCGCAACAGCATATTTTTCACTCACTGTGCTTTGCGACTCATTGTATTTGAGTTGTTTCAGCGACTTGAGCATTTCTCTTCATTAGTAAATCACAAAAATCAATAGACTCTGCCCTCCCAGCACGAGTCATCTATCTCATTCATTACTTGCGGTATTTACGTACTGTTCAGAAACGAAGTTCATTTTGGCGTGAGAGTAGTCGTTACTTTGCACGTCCATGTCTAGACCAAAAAATTGAAGGAATTTGAAAATACAAAAATTCGCTTGAGGTCATGCCTAATGGTCCTAGTACAATTTGCCTTTGAGCGAGGTGTACATTTGCAAAGCGTGTCATCATTTTTCACCGCATCTTTCGCTTCTGTATAGGAATGTATAAGAACGTCAAACCACAAGTCAGGAACTTTATTTTAGCAATTTATAGCAGTTTATTTTCACAGAAAATGTTTTGCATGATAGTCCATTCACTATTGATTTTAGAGAACATTGAACATTGAACTAAGTGTTTTCTAACCATATCATTTGATCAGCACCTACATGTTATGTCTGCGATCCATCTCTTTTAGATAGTAGATTTGAACTATGATATAGTGGACCACATGTCCACAATACGTGTGCGTAAGAAATGGTAGTGTAGGGCGGACCCCCGTGGTGGTGGTTTGTATTTTCATTTTTTCAGTAACGTTCAAATCTGAACTGTAATATGTAACAACCGTTCTGAATTCGCATGCAGTTCTTTTACGTTTATCTTGTTGATGGTGTTACATGTCTCTCAGTTTCAGATTTATTGAAGAAAGCGGAGTCCATGGGTGTAAATAGCGAATCATCGTCACGAGATTCCGAAGAACGTAGCTATGCTCATGATGATCATTACGAAGAACCGAATTTACGTAGTCGGCGGTCGTATAGGTCTCCACCTAGAACAGGTAAACTTTCAATGTAATCGCTTGCCTAGAATCTTTCAATATGATTAATTGAATCCTATCAAATTTTTTCTGATATTTCTTTGGACTTCGTCTTCGAATATGCTTATCAGAGGGCGTATACAGTGAGATCATAGACATCATGGATGTTCAAAAGTGATATGTGTTTGAATCATCAAACAGTATGGTTTTAACTTTCTCTTTTATTTGAGGAGTTGCCAGCACTTTCCAGTTTAGTAAGCCAATTTGATTCAAATTGATCACGTTTTTCCAGCGTCGGACAGTAAAATAAATGGCAGCGCTGGTGGAGAAACCTCGAAGGCTAGAACGGCTAAGTCTAGATCTTCGTCACGTACACCCAGATTAGGCGTCGACTACACAAAAGAGGTAAATTGCATCTACTCAGCTCCTCTTGCTTTTCTCAGGTAAAGGTTTGTTTATAGCAGTCTGATCTGGTGGAACGAATTCGACACTGCAAGGATTACTATGAAATATTGAATGTAAGCTCTGGGTTGTTCTGTTACTTGGTACGTATTACGGTTGCTTTGGACAGGTATCAAAGACGGCCTCAGACGCAGAAATTAAAAAAGAGTACAGAAGAATGGCTTTACAACTTCATCCAGATAAATGTAGGGCTCCACATGCAACAGAGGCCTTCAAAGGCAAGCATTTTTCGCCTTGCCAACACCTACGGTCTTTATGTTGTATCATTTATATTTAAGCTTTGGGTAATGCCTATGCCGTTTTATCCAACGAAGAAAAGCGAAAACAATATGATTTGTATGGTGCTGATGGAGGAAGTGGAAGTAATGTTAGTAGTAGCAGCAGAGGGCAAAGGGGAGACTTCTTTGAGTATGATTATGCACATGGATTTGATGGTATGTTATTCAAAAGATTTTATAATTTGATAATTTTGAGTTCGATCTTTTTCTAGCCGAGTTTACCCCTGAGGAGATCTTCAATATGTTCTTTGGCGGTGGTTTCCCGTCAGAGTCCGTGCGAAGAAGAGGTCATGCTTACCATCATACTGCCCATCATAGCACTAGAAATCAGAATGAGGTATTGTTTTCATGTGAATCTGCAAACTGTCAGTACGCGATAGCAATATTAAGAGTCCATATACTCCACTTTTACAACTGTTGCCACTTATTGCCATACTCGTCCTCGGTCTCATAGCACAGCTTATGGTCGGCGATCCTGCATACTCCTTGCATCATTCCAGGTGGGTCAAGCGATAGCTTTGTTCACCCTTCCTGTCACATGTTGATCTAAGGTCTGAATTTACTTTTTTTTTCTTACAATGATCGCTACTTTTGGTTGAACTTAGTCCTTTTGATACCCGTACATCTCATCTATGCACGAAACTCTTTCATACATCAGCGAATGTGTTTGACACGCTTTTATGAACCCCCGGTGGGTTTCTGCTCAAGCACCCCTTTGTTACTCTAATCATCTCTTTGTCTTGTAAATATAACTGTATCTACTGTTTGTGATGGTTACAGCGATGCCATCTGGGTGTGTATAATCAATCGCCCCTTAGCTAGCACAATTTGGTGCTTCATGAGTGTGGTGTTGCCTCAATTACATGTGTACGTATTTATTTTAGTATTTATTTATTCTAGTAAGTATCCAGTGAAACGTCTCACTCAGAGTGATTTGAGAGTGCCTTATTTTGTCAGAAGCGACTTCGAGCAGGCGTATCGCGGTAGAATTCATCAGGTTTGTACCTTTCTTTTTTTGCATAATCGGAGTTTAAATTGCCACACGATTTTTCCCATATTTTATTGCAAAGACTTTATGCCTCGATTCCGATAATAAGCGAGCCTTCTGTAGTACTGGAGTTTCACATCCCTCCTTCTCAGTCTTCTTCACTATGCTGCCATATAAGTGCGGTGTTTATGTTTGATGCTATCAATTTCAGATTGAAGCACAGGTTGAAGACGAATACATCCAAAATCTACGAATGAATTGTTACAAGGAGCAGAACCAACGTGAGTGTACATGTAAGGCTCATTCATAAAATCGTGACGACGGATTTTGCGGTCTTTGCGCCCACAAGAGCATCACACCCTCATACAATAAGGCAACACCTCAACGCTCAGCTCAGTCACTTCCAGTATCCAAATAGTATCATAGTTGTGTCTTCTCTCCTGTAGGTGATGTGGGGCACGTGCGTCGTAGATAGGTTTATTGGCCACGAAGAATACGTACAATTGAAGACGAGCCGCTGACGATGTCCAAAGGGCAAAAAGTGAAACAAACTCAAGAAATGAAACCATCAACACATTTTACAACACGCCACACCACCACCGACAAACCGACAACATCGAGTATCTCCTCTTCACACGCCCCTCCTCGAATAGTCACCTCCGGGGACTTGCCCGTGATACCGTCCGCGCTGCTTCATATTTGCGGCTTGCTCCAGGCTCATCTTCATCAGCTCCCAAATGTGCGTAATTTCCAGCTTCGGCAGTCTTCATCTGTTCACACCTCCGTCGTTTCCTTGATCGGCGCCCATTTCTTTCTTCTTCCTGTTCCGTAACTTGAATATCGGTCAATTCGATGCAGCTTCTCGAAGTCCAAGGTGCGTTGTGTAGCTTCGTAATCGCGTCTTCCATTGGTCCATGGTCATCCATCTCCTTGGCGTCGTATTCTGCTAACGCCATGTTGGCTCGCTCCTCGCAAATACCGCATTCGCAAGGATGGAGACAATGTAGCAAGTCCAGCGGCTCTCCGACCTCGACTCTGCAACACGAGACTTCACAGTTCGAGTTTGTAACTTTTCTAAGTCTACCCCTTCTTGCTTTGCCCTTAGCTGCCCTTTCAAGCTTATTGTCAACATTCTGGGGCTTACTTAGCTGATCCGGAACGCGTTCAGGCTTATCATTCGCCTTTTTCTGCTGCATTGAGGAGCTACTACTTTCACTCAATTCGCTCACTTCAGATGGCCCTGTCCGGACGGTGACCGGCTTAAGGTGTTTTGATGGAGTTTTCTCCGTGGCCCCCTTCATATCCACCCGGTCGCCTGAAGTCAACGGTCTCTCGTTGACTTTGCTGTCTCTGAATGAGAATTTCTGCTTCCGCACCGATTCATTTCTATTTTCCCTTGGTCGCTGAGGAGGACGAGGCACTCTTCTCCTTGGGTTTGATGTGGTCCGCTCTACAACCTTACCGACACGATATATTCTTGGCGCCAATACATTGATGACGGAGCTTCTTACTGCACCATTTGCAGTGTTGCAGTGTGAACCTGGAACTGACGCATCGCTAGACCGCAACACTTGTGTCCGTTTGGTCTGCCTCAGCTCCAGTCCTTTGCTTCCGCCAGGTCTACTGTAGACACATGCGGCTACTTTGGCCTGCTGCGATTCCATAGCCTTTTTGGATTTTCTGGCACGCTTATTATGCCGTTCCCTTTGTTGATCTAGTGGTTTCCTTTCGCCTTTGCAGGGCTGACCTCCTCTGCGGATCGTATAGCCGAGTGCGTGCAGGATATTTGTCCCCAGCACTACCCTGTTATCTCCTCCTTTTCTAACGAAGAAGGCAGCTCGGCATTGAGTTCTATCAGGTACTTTTAAGGTCAAACGAATGGCACCTTTGAATCTCATCAAATTGCCGGAAGCATCGTAAACTGGTGGATATTCCTGTCGCGGAATGTGTTCCACATCACCATCTATGTCAAATCCTTTTTGCTGTGCTGTCAACAGCAAATCGAGAGGCATAATACTGATCTGTGATCCAGAATCTACCAGTGCTTTCCTTTCCAGGCCAAGAAACTTCACCGTTTCTAGTGTCTGGCTGCCCACTAGATCACTAGCTTTCTTCCGTGCGACAGTACTGCATGCCCAGTGCCGCAGTAAATTGGAAAAAGATCCTGCATCACGTTCATTCGTGGCGTCGCTTCTGCCTCCTTGTGACACCTCCCTCAAACCCCTGGGAGTGTACTGGATGGTTGGGGTTTCCTTGCAGTCCCTTTTAAAATGTCCAGGCTTTTTGCAGTTGTAACAGAGCAATTCTCGGTCTTTTGATCCGTTCTGCTGCATGTTCCGATTGGGATTTTCGTGACCGTCGCGTTCTTGGTGCTCCATTTTCACTAACGTTTGACCCATGTGCTCGCGCCCCTGTGTCGCTTGTTGTCCTCGCGGAAGCCGTTTTGGCTTGCTTGTGGCGTCCTGCTTCAAGTGCAGTGCCACTTCCCTACTCCTTTCTATCCGCTGTGCAAGGGCTTTGAGCTTCTCATAAGCTTCTTCCGCGGGAGTTTGTTCTACCTCTGTAAAGAGTTGAACATATTCCGGCCATTCAGTTAGTTGTGCGATTAGCTCTCCAGTACGCAACATGGAGAGCTCCCTTTCCGCCGATTCTGGATAGGCTGCCCTTGTTAATTGTTCCAACCGCGCACAGTACTCGGAGATAGTCCCGAATGATCGGAGATTTTTGAGGCTAACGTATGCCTCCATTCTGTTGGCAGACTCATTTTCTTTGAATTTGGCTTTCAGTGCGGTTACGAAATCATGGAATGTTCCTTCTCGAACATCCATAGGAAGAGTCTCCACTATAACCCGGGGTTGCCCTGCTAGCTTCGAGCATAACAAGTGGATAAGCATTTCATCACTCAAATTCAATCTATCATATTTAACCCTAAAGGAGAGTAAGAACTTTTCGAACCCTTTGCCTTGCGCGTTATCGAATACCGGAACTTCTGGTAGTGCCATCGCAGTAAATGCGGAACACACAACATTTGTCAACCCCATTTCGGTAGTGAGTGTATCGTTCCTACCTTGGCAGTTCTTCCTCGATTTCTTGGAGAGGGATCCCGGCAGCTTTGGCGGCTCTCTCGCGGGCTGCTCTCTCTGCAAATGGGGAATCATTTGCCTCTGTGGCAAAATATAACGCCTATTTTGTGTTACTGGCGCGTTTCTATCGCGCAGATAATCACCTCTTGCGGCAGCAATTGGGTCGAAATCGGCCAGCTCCAGGTTTTTAGGTACTTCATTAGAACGCAGTTGTTTCAGCGCGTCTTGGAAGTTACCCACTGTGTTGTCACTCGACTTCGTTTCACCGTGATCCTGAAGAATATCTATAGTAGTTATTCCTGACCCTTCTCCCCCTATACGCGGCTCTTCTACTTGCGAGTTGTCGATTCCTGACCCGAGGATGCGCTGTATGCTTTCCACCACTTGGGTTGAATCTACCGAAAGAATTTGTGACAGTTTCCTCATCGCACTGTCATCGTACCGCGCTTGTTCTAAGGTTTCAGCTACATTTTTCTCTAGCTGAACCAAATCAACACTTTTGAACCTATTCAAATTCTCAACTAACTGCTCGATTTTGCCGATTTCTACTTCTAGTCCGTTGCAAACATTATCGATTAGAAGAAGGTCGGCGCTGGTGCTTTTAGGGCTTTTCTTATTTTCTGCTTTGCGCGTACCCTTACCTACAAGGCTGCGCATCTCTGCTAAGTATTCGCCCATTTTGGCAGGTACTACACATACCTGCGACTGTTTTTCTACTAGCTGACGCACTTGTTGCGTCAATCCGACAATCTGCGCTTGAAGGTTCTCGATGCGCTTGCTTTCCTCGTCCATGAGGATCATGGCTTCCATTTCTTCATCAATGGATTCTGCCATACTCTGCAACAGAAAAACTTTAGCCTTTACAGCTGTTTTTCCCTCAGTCGAACGTGCAGGGCTTCTCAACAGCTTCCTGCTTTACTTGCTTATGAAGCTTCGAAGTTCAATCACGGTGGTGTACAGGTAACCTCTGCCAAGGTTTCTGTACTTGAGTGCGTTTAATGGCGTTCCACAGAGAGCTGCGGATCCACCTGCACTTCACCCCACGGTGACTTTCAGGTACCACCTCGACAAGAGGTTCTTGTACCTGCTTGTAAGTGCCGGCTTTCCACAGATGACCTGTGGATCAACCTGCACAAAGCTAGCACGATAATCCACACCACAAACGTATAAGCGAAATTTCCCCCGACAAGAAACTTCGCACAAGATAGGTGGTACCCGTGCTCAAGTTTGTTCGGCCCCCAAGTTGTGTCTTCTCTCCTGTAGGTGATGTGGGGCACGTGCGTCGTAGATAGGTTTATTGGCCACGAAGAATACGTACAATTGAAGACGAGCCGCTGACGATGTCCAAAGGGCAAAAAGTGAAACAAACTCAAGAAATGAAACCATCAACACATTTTACAACACGCCACACCACCACCGACAAACCGACAACATCGAGTATCTCCTCTTCACATCATACCCAAGCAGAAAAAGCAGTCGAGTAGAGATCAAAAGCAAGAAAATGCGGTTGTCGGAAGGTGCGTGTGTCGCGCATGGTCACGCCATCGTCACGATTTTTTGAATGCCCTTTTGATGTGTTTCGATGTTTTATCTCTCAAGCGAATTATTCATTTAGGTGAAACATTGTTATATCGTGCACGGTGGCAACGTGATGATGACTTGCTTCGTCGAGCAAGTCAAATGGCGATGCCCCATTGTGATCGTCTTAGGGAGATATACAGTCATTAACACCCCTGTGTCCCTAAGATTATTCGAGTGCATAACTTTTGGCGGCGGTTTAGCTCAACGATATACTTTTGTGTGGACAAACATTGTATAGGCTCTTCTTCATTTTCCTCTTCACACATCACATCCGACAATGTCGGTAGTAACACGAGGTACTTATGGTTTTTCTTCTGCTGAAATGATTATTCTTATTTGCGTGTTTGTTGGCCTTTCAAGCACTAGATTTGTACAATGTATGTCGTTGTAGATTATAACTTGTATGTAATAAGTATCTCCTTTGGAGGTCACAAAAAGGTCAGCATCTGTTCGTGGAACATGAGATGATCGTTGTAGTGCTCATTTGCGGTTTTCAGTGTTTTGGTTGTATTAAACCGTATTCCACTTGGATCAGTCCCGTCATTGTTTCTAACTAATGCTCCTTAGATGCGATTGTAGTTCTAGGTCAAATGAAACAAACGTTAGAGTTCTTGTCTTACCACCAGCTCAAGGCAAGATGCCCTGTATGCGGGTGTGTCTTGTCCTGTAATTGAACCTGTGATAAACGCCAAATTGCTAGTTCTGTCCTACCGACTAAGTATGTCAAGAATTGAATAGACAGTGTTTAACCTTAATAAACTTTTGATACTTTATGGCATTCTTTTCAGTGCTGTTCATCGCAAAGAATACCAGAGCTAAATTCGCCGCAAGAAGTAACTCAGAAATGCTTACAGGTGAAATTTGGGCATCAGCGCTAAATGCCAGACTGGTCTACGGTCACGGTTAGTGGAAATTCCCACTTTTGCCTTTATAATAATAACTATGAGGAACTTAGTGGTCATCTCGGTGATGAAATTTAGGCCCGTATGCGTGTATTTCTTTTTGTAAACGAGACTGAGTTCTCAAAACCTTGGTGTAGTGCTGCTGTGAACTCTATTCGAAGGCAGAATCATGCGGCAGTCTTCCACTTCAAAAAGAATGCTGCACTTTTTGTGGTAGTGCTTTTTTAGTAACGTCCCGAAGGCAGCACCGAAAAACGTGCAGAATTGTATCAGAGTATCTACATGAGTTATCAGGTTTTTGCAGCGGTAGGACAATAGGTCCTCTGATATAATTGTGCAGGTTTTTCGGTGCTGCTTTCGAGACGTTACTTAAAACACTATCGCAAAAAGGTCATTCTTCTTTGAAATGAAAGACAGGAACTTGTAACAGAAGGCGTTCTCCTCCCAGTCAAAGCTTTCAGCCAAATTCCAAAAACTTTTTCTATCCAAATGAGCTGCTAGTTTACACGAAACTAGTTGTTTGCGCAAAGCTGTCGATGTACTTCATTTGCGTGCCTCTTCCTTAGAATCTGCGGTAGCGCCTTCCCTTTCTAGCAGTTTCCTTCGAAGCTAAGAGCGGAGCAGATCACTGAGACCTGAGGGGAAGGCAGGGGTCTATATTGTATGCTCAACGTCAGTTGTTGTCATGAATTTTGCATTGCATGTTCTTTATTTAGCCGCGCCTCGAGTATGATAGAATATTCAGTCCGCCAAGAACAGAATCATTCAACTGGAAAGATTATTTTGCTGTAAGTTCCCTACTCTGCCTAACACTCATTTTTGTGATTATCTTACGTCTAGGCTACGGGAACAAATCCTTGTACCGATGAAATCTTATTTGGTCATGTTAGATATCTCGAACAAAGTGTTTGCGAGAGACTCTTTGAACATGGAAAGCATATTTTCGTCAAAACAGAGAACGACAATGAACGAGTGGCAAGAATAGAGGTAAAAAGGCATTTGTGTTATAATTCGGCTATTATTCACTCACCACCTCTAGGTTTGCTGTAAAGGCAAACTTTTTGTTAGCTATCTGAACATCGACGAGAAAGAAAGGAAGGAAGATGTTGACGGTGAAATAACCATTGATGATGTTGTTACAGATGCATTCGAAGTTGATCACTCCATGAAAAGGTAGATTCCATCCCTTAATTTCGCTTTTCGCTTGTTAGTCGTGGTTGTAGGGTACTTGCGGAGGAAAAAGACAAACGACGTAAATGGGATTTTTTGGATGTTGAAGAAGTTAGGAAGTACAAAGATTTGATGGATCATAGTCTCAACGACTTGATTGAGGTGACTTCTTTGCATCGCTTTATGTAGAAGGAAAACCTATTTGTGCCTTCGTTATTTTTCGTTTTTCTGTTGATGTTTTCAAGGGACGGTTTCTGAAGCAGTGCGGTCCAAATTTATTCTCACTCAGTCTAGGATGGGACGGTTGTCCCAGCCTACCTTTCACAACCAAAACAGATTTTGGGTATATTTGAAACCTTGGTTGCAAGCTGTATTCTGGTGTAGAGGAATCGCTGATACTAGCTTTTAACGGTTTTATCTCTCTTTCGCTAAGCTGAGGTGCTGGAAGTTAGCGTATATGGGCAAGTGAACACGCATGTCGCAAAAATAAGTTATTGTCTGTGAATATTGGTGGCTTTGGTGGCTACTCAAAATCTGTCGATTGCACTTTATTTTTATGTAAATTCTAATATTAGCACGCTGTACTGGTTAGCCAGTAGTTGGTAAGTCATCGAGTGAGTCATTGTCTTACTGTCACACGGTTGGGCAGCGAGTGCACGGAAATGGTAGGTGGAAGTGAACATGTATTCTATTAGTTTGACCATGCCATTTTTGTTTCAGTAAAATTTTATCTCTAACTTCATGGAATTTTCGACTTACTTCTTGACACCATTGTACTTAACATTTACTGACTCAAATCTCGTATTCTAGGAGGGTCAGTATTTTGAATTGCAAGACGCCGTCGAACCACGTTGTGTATTTTGCTGCCGAGTTCTCGCCAACCTCGGCGGTATTGTGATATACCAGGTTTTGGATTATGTAAGTTTCTTTTGTGTGGTTTTGATTGCTGTTGTTAGTTCTGCTGTTTTAGACACTATCAATCAACATCACCAATCCGCGATGTCATCCTATCGGTTGGGCGGCCAGTCACCAGGAGGATGCAGTGAGTTTCACATGTTCTTTTCTGTAGTTGTACCTCTGATTTCCGTTAGGTTGCTTACTGTCCTGGAAAGTACAGCGCGGAGAATATCAAGAAGTTTGCCAAGAATTCCGTTCCTGCGATTATTTTCAGAAAGTATGAATTGAAGGAGCATGCTCTCAAGGTAAGGGTCTGATGAAGAAACCCCGAGCTACAACAGCTGCAAAAAACCTTGCGCTTTAGGTCGGCTGCCTAGTTGAGGTGCAAGATTCTGAACAAAGAGCTGCCATATTTCCTGGTCACGTCAGTGAAATAATCAATCCTCACTTCGTGAAAATCGTTTCGTTTTCGCACGGTCGTCCGGGCACTAGAGAGGTGAGTGTTCGCCCGAACACATCAAGTGTACACAGGCAGTGTGAAAATGTGTTCTTACTACGTCAGATTGTGGCTCATCGTGGAACATACGGCGTATTTCCGCAGGGTTTTTGTGCCTCAGTCGGTTATCAACTTTCTTTGCCTCAAAAGTCGATGCTGAAGGACAGGGATCTGCCTAATTACGCATGGAGCTGGAAATCGTACGCAGCCGAGTGGGGAATTCCCGGAGTAAGTTATCGCTTTTAGCTACTGTCCAGATTTTTTACCATCAGCCAATTTTCAGTTGCCTACCAGCGAATATAACTTTGAGCCGATTCCCGGAAGAGACGCTAGGATTGCTCCCATGAGGCATGTGGAGGTTTGTGGACTTTCGACGTATCTTGAGTTTATTTGATCAATTTTCTACGATATTTGTCATGATATTTTCTCCAAATGTAAATTGCAGGTATTTTGTTACCAACGAGGGGTTATGTACGCGGCTTTGATACATCGCGCTGTTCGTAATCTTGTGCTCATTGAACTGAGCTGTGATACAACTCCAAATCCACCGCTGATGTTTGTTGTCGGGTTCGTTAACACATAATTCTACATCATATCAATATGGCCTGTTTGTTACAGCTGCGATAACCTCTTTCCATGCGGATTTGCTGCAATGTATGACATTCCTTTCATTGGAGAAGCACCGTTCATGTCTTTGCCTCCTTTGAAAAACGAAGGTTGGTGATGCTTCGATTCTCCAGTGCCAGTGCGATCTTTTCAGGTTCCTCACGATTCGATATGTTGCGAATGGAGTACACGTCACGTCCTGGCAACATATTCCAAGAAAAGAGAGCAAATGATCCTTCTTTCATACCAGAGTTTTGGACGAAAGGTGCATATCCTAATCAATGTTTTGTTCTGCTGTCATGGGCCAAGTTCATCTCATCAGCCGAGTGATTCTTTTTCAATTTTTCTTCTTCGATAATTCAACGCTTTTAATGAATCGTATGAGTTGCAGGTGACGTATGGCTACCTCGAATCTATGTCCACCCTTCCTGTCGCGTCGGGCCTTGGTTTACCCGATCTCATTTTGGTGCTCTAGCTCGATACTATGAAGCCGGACCAATACCTCACGTCTTCAGAGTATTAATAGCGGTAAGGTACTTCATAATCTTTTTGAATTGAAGATTCGGGAGAATCTATTGTTCGATTTTTTGTTATTTCATCGTTTAGGATATCTACCAATGTGCTTCGCCTGAGCATCGTCTGGAAGTGCAGAACATGTTGAACACTGATGATGATGACGTAGCGGCTATATATGTAAAATTTAAATGGAGGGTTTCTGCAGATCACGTATTGATGCGAGTTCCCGTGTGCCGCACAGCTCGCCAAGCAGTAGGATGGCTCAGGGTAAGCAGGATTTGTTATTGGATTTTGATTCTCTTACTTTATTCGCACTTTGAGTTTAGGTGTTGTTACGATCACTTGGATGTTGTCCGCATCTTTTTTCTTTCGAAAAAACACCGAAATGCAATTGCACCAAACTCAAGCCAGAAGAACGTCGTCGAGTATGTGTGTTGAATTTGCGCGCCTCTCTGTATTATGTCTTTGCAGCTGTCTGTAATACCAGCTGATGTTGCAAGGAGGATGAATTCCGCCAATAGCGGAGAAAAACGAAAGTAGGTAATTGGCTTGAACAAAAGCTTTTCTTCGCAATGTTTGTGCCTTGCGCCTTGTGTGATACGAATGATCGTTACATGTGTAATCACCACAATCGGCCATTGAATTAAAATTCGATTTGATTAGATTAAAACCTGCTACGGTGTTTAGATAGCATCCGCGTAATTGAAATTGTTACTTCAGGAAGCGTTCCGTTAAACTTGGGACTTCCAAGCGCCGAAGAACGCTACCACCATCTCCACCCGCTCAAGAACCTAGCCAGAATCATACTAGAACTGTGCTTGTAAGTAGAGTTTATTGTGTTAAATTCCTGCAGATATTAACTAGGTATTAACTTTGGAAAGTTAAAAAAATATCCTCTAACTATTGCGCGCACGGACTGGCACTGCCTGCGCGACTACGGCGCTCGGCTAATAGGTTGCGAGAGCACAATGGAACCATTGCGGTTAGTATACTGGAACAAGCATTTCACCACTCGCATGCGTTGCACTGATGGCCCAATCAATGTGCTAATAAAGTATACACTTTTCTGATTTTGAATAAACTATCAATCGAAGTGGGAATGTTCCTTTCCTGAGTTCACTTCAACATTAACATTTCGACAGTCGTTGTACGATTTTGATCATCGCCCTATGCACTGGATCAGAATTTGCGGCTACAAAACTTGGGCAAGAATCATTTAAGTAGGGAATGTGTATGATGATGAACTTTGCAGACGTCTGATGATGATTTTTCGCGATCTTCTATGGATGAAATGCCTCGGTTGCATGCCGTTGATTCGGTCGACTACACTCATAATGGAACTACACCCAGTGAAGAGACCAGCAATCAATGCAGTAGCTCAGACGAGATGCCAACAAATTCCAATGGAATTTCAAGAACTGATTCAGTAAGTTGTGCCTTGTTTTCCATATAAACTGTACTTCCCTTATCTTAGAATTTACAGTCACCACAACGTCCAATTTCTATCGATGGAGATGTTATGGAATGGGATTCTAGTCATCTTATATTGTTTTTGAAAACAATGTTTCCTGATCTGAGTGACGTGACGAGCGTACTTGAGAAAGAGGTTGCGGTCTATATTTGAAAGTATAAAGTGGAAATAAAACATAGATTTCAGCGTATTGACGGAGCACACCTGTTGACGATGTCACAGCAAGACTGTATAGATTCACTGGGGCTGAATTTAGGGCCTGCATTACGGCTGTACGAAGTGATACAGGTAATTTGCTAGTTGCTTACATTTTTTGGTTGTGTAGTCCCTATAGAGAGAGAGGTGAGAGGGGGGGGGGGGGACCCGAGAATAAGACACGAAAATTTCGAAGGTTACTTACGTAAAATCGTCACATACAATAATGTCATGCAATCGTATAAGTGACCGCCTCTATCTGTGAGCAATTGAAGATAACAAATGATATCTAAAATCTTTCAAAAATTCACTTAAGATTTGTGATAAGAATTTTTGGGGCTTGATGGCATAGGCTCGCTAAGAAAGGTGCAAAGCTTATGGAAAAAATTTTTCCGAGGGCAAGCCCCTTCCCCCCCCCTCCGAAATGAAATCTTTCGGACCTCTACCACTCAAACACTGTTACCTACCTATACGTGTACTTGTCTACAAGTCTATATTCTATTATATATATTATTACAAGTCTATTCAATTCTATTCTATTCTATTGTATTCATTGTCTACAAATCTATAGTCTGTCTCTGTCTTGTCTTGTCTACTGTCGCTTGTCTGTCTTGTCTACCTGTCCTCTTTTCTATCTCAAAAAATCAGTCTGTGCCATCCTAAGAAGAAACTAATGGGTTAGGAGATTTCACTGCTTCTTGATAGTGCTCTCGCTGTTTTTTTTTCTCATGCTGCAAAATACTAGATTTATCCAGAGTTTCTTGTAAGGAAAATTTCAAGGGTTTTGCTGCCCGTAACCAATAGCATAAATACTGAAATGAAATCATCACAAAGATTTGCCACTAATGCTAAGCATTCTTCTTTATTGATTGTAAGCACCTTTGCATACGCATTTAACACAAAATTTTACAGGAAATCAAGAACGCAAATGCGAGTCACATTTGAGAAGATGAAAGCATCGCTGAGATTGTATATCCTTACCATACCGGTCCATTTTTCAGGCTATGATTGTATTAGCTGTTGAAACATATGAATGTACTTGTTACTGACCCTCAAGGGGCTCACTTATATTCTTGACGTGTATAGTAGGAATCACCATGAGTGTCTCCATACACTGGTGGCTTAGCAATTATCACACTTTCATGTATATCATTCTTTTGTGTTGTTTGATCTCTATGTTAGTTGCCGGACAGTTCACATTCTTAATTCTTTCTCAACTAGTTTGCACATGTATATTTTATTATCTCTTGGTGACATGATAAAAATTATATTGTAGATAATTTGCATATGTTAGCTTCTGCGTTGCATGTAATTCTTCTTTTCTCGTTTTATTGGTGAGAATGCCAGTATTGGATTTCGCCATGATTTTCTCTTAAAAGATCTTGTGATAAAATATAGTCTGGGTTGGTGACGTCTCAGCGGTGATGAGGGTCACTTGTCCAACCTCAGAAGCACCTAGGAAATGGCTATTTCAAGTAACTAAGGTTAGCGATGCGATGGTTCGCGCTAAAAAGGTAGATTCCAACTCAGCGTCTTACCAAGGGTGGTTTGATGTACATAACACTTATGCTTCGAAAAGTCTGCGCTCCGCGGCCATTTTTTACGGGCAGATGAAGTCGCGGCATCGCATTGTAAACTGTCAAAACTCGCTGACTATATCTATTTCTCGTTGTCAGCGGGTAATCATTTTGAATCGGCTTTCTTGTTCTGTATGTTGACGATTTTAACATTGCGTCTGCTAGGGCAACATTCTGTTTCTGACGACGCCGTATCTTGTGTCACATCAAAACAACACTTGCAATGGTGCTTTTTCTAGACTTTCACTTACTTTTACGATTTGTAGATATTAAGCCAAGGTTACTCATGCTATTTTAGTCACATCTTACTACTTCCACTATAGCGCAGCTGTGGAGATCAAAGTTTGACCCCCCGGCCCTGGGCCTGTCCAAGCCTCTGACCCTGCTTAGGGAATGAATTACGATCTGCACGACTTTTCTGGGCAAAGGTGGGCCTTTTCATGGAGTTACATAGGATAGTTAGGGAGGAGGGGCAAAATCATAGACGAACACCACACAGAGACCCTACCAAACAAAATAAAGCGATATTCATGTTGATTTCTAGACATCCTCATGTACAGAATTTCACGAAACTCAGCGATTTTGACCCTAGTCCGCAAACATAGACACAATGCGTTAGACGCATTGTATGGTGACTCCATGAAATGTGCCCCTGCGTTTTGAGTGGTGTATTCGTTATTATGATACCGAGCGACCTTCTGGGGAGAATTGTGCAGCTTACCGTGGTTTTACCCTACGCATACCTACCGTAACCATGCAGGATGACGCTTTTAAGCGAGGAGAGTACTATGAAATCTCCCGGATGAAATAGTCAACTTGATCTTGAGCCTCCCTCTTTCCCCCCCCCCCCGGCACCTACCCTAACTTGCACGGATATACAATGCGTTTGAGAGCCGCTCCGCGTAGTGCAGCCACACATCTACGCGCGAGCGCTACGGTGCGCGCAACGTGGACCGTGCTGCGCACAACATCGCGGGCCTTGTTTTTATCATTGCATCTCTAATTTTCCGCTTTTGTAGCAGCAGGTTGCCATATTTCTAATTTCTGTGCTCAAATGCGATTTGTCTTTATAACCGATGTGATTTTTTCGCAGCAAAGGAAGCATGATCAAATCTTTGGGCGTTTTTCCTCATAACATCTTTCATTTCGTCCACGTCTTCTTTGGATGGCTGATTCCGGATGTCATGATTCTTTATATTGACTCGTGTTTCAGTGGACGTAATCATATGTCGTTTGTTATGTTTGAATGAACAGCGCCAACAGCGCCACTGCTGCTCACTCGAACTGTTCTCTCATCCTGTACGATATATAATTATTACACCTCACATACCTTCACCTTTAGCCGTAAAGAGGGAGAGCACCAGCCGTTGTCAGAATTCTCAAATGAAAAGATCATGATTACATCTTCTTTTAGACCTCACACCTACATTTTGTCTTCCACTAGCGACCCTACGGGTCGCTAGCAAGTGGGTCGGGGCAGATACATATAGGGCTTAAGTTTGACTAAAAATATTTCTAAATAAATTTCTTGTTCCTCCTGAGAACACTTTCGCGAAGAGCATTCCACAAAAGGAGAACTGCTCGAAGAAGCAATAATCTCCACAAATCATTCAGCATTTCTCGAAATTCCTGTTACATCCAAGCATGATATTATTTCTATCTCTTTTACACACCTTTTATGCAAATCTCCCTCCTCACAGAGACATTCAGATACCCCCCCCCCTCCCCACTTTTCTTCTACGCTCTCAAAGAGAATCTGCTCTTTCAGTTCTTCTCATAAAGTTCCATAAAATATCGTCAAGTAAGTAGCAGAACATATCGTTTTGGAAGTAGAAATACCCATAGAAATTACGTGTGTTACAAAAAACACTTTTCTCTCAGAATCAGTTCCGACAGCAACAAAATCAGTCGTCTAAGAACTTTGTCAAAGAATCCTTTAATTTTTTCGCCAAAGGGAATATGAAGCTTTACTACAAAAGGGAGCCACCCAAAGACCGTCAATCACAAGAACTGCACAAACGTATAAAAAATTTCTTTCCCTGTCCGATCAAATTGCCCTACGTGCCGTTTACAAACCAATTATCTATCTGAAAGACAATTCATGCCCTACGTGCCGCTTTTAGACCGTTTAGGAATTATAAGAACTGCCCCAAACACAAAAATCTGTTTCCCTGCGCGATCGGGTTGCCCTACGTGCCGCTTACAGACCGAGAGTAACTATTCAAAATGAAAGTTTTCTCCCTACGTGACGCCTGAAGACCGTTTAAGAATTATAAGGACTGCCCAAACATACAAAAATCTGTTTCCCTGCGCGATCGGGTTACGTGCCGCTTACAGACCGAGAGTAACTATTCAGAATGAAAGCTTATTCCCTACGTGACGCCTGAAGACCGTTTGAGAATTATAAGGACTGCCCAAACATACAAAAATCTGTTTCCCTGACCGATCGGGTTACCCTATGTGCCGCTACAGACCGACAGTAACTGTTCAAAAAGAAAGTTTATGCCCTACGTGCCGCTTGAAAACCGTTTAAGGATTATAAGAACTTCCCCAAACATAAAAAAATCTGTTCCCTGCCCGATCGGGTTGCCCTACGTGCCGCTTACAAACCGAGAGTAACTATTCAGAATGAAAGTTTATTCCCTATGTGACGCTTGAAGACCGTTCAAGAATTATAAGGACTGCCCAAACATACAAAAATCTGTTTCCCTGCCCGATCGGGTTACCCTATGTGCCGCTTACAGACCGACGGTAACTGTTCAAAAAGAAAGTTTATGCCCTACGTGCCGCTTGAAGACCGTTTGAGAATTATAAGAACTGCCCCAAACTTAAAAAAATCCGTCCCCTGCCCGATTGGGTTGCCCTACGTGCCGCTTACAGACAGAGAGTAACTATTCGAAAAGAAAGTTATGCCCTACGTGCCGCTTGAAGACCGTTTAAGAATTACAAGAAGTGCCCCAAACATAAGAAAATCTGAAAAAAAATCCGCTTACAGACCGATAGTAACTACTCAAAAAGAAAGTTTACGCCCTACGTGCCGCTTGAAGACAGTTGAAAAATTACAAGAATTGCCCCAAACGTACAAAAATCTGTTTCCCTGCCCGATCGGGTTGCCCTACGTGTTGCTTACAGACCGAGAGTAACTATTCAAAAAGAAAGTTTATGCCTTACGTGCCGCTTGAAGACCGTTTAAGAATTACAAGAACTGCCTCAAGCATAAGAAAATCTGAAAAAAAATCCGCTCACAGACCGATAATAAGTATTCAAAAAGAAAGTTTATGCCTCATGTGCCGCTTGAAGATCGTATATATAAAAAGCCAATTTTACGACTCTATAGAAAGAGAACAACGAAATCAATTATTTTCAGCGTATTCTCAAACTGCCGTGCATGCCACTCTTGGACTTTCAATTCTGAGAACTGCCCTAAACGTACAAAAATCTGTTCCCTGCCCGATGGAATTGCCTTACGTGCCGCTTATACACCGATACCCAGTTGAAACCAGCGGGACACATTTACATAAGCAAAAGCAAGGCTGTTGTTAAATAAACGCTTCCAAAAATACCAGCGAGACTAAGTTATTTAGGCACTCTCTTGTCTACACGCGGAAGCAAGATAATCCTAAAGAGATTGTTGTTAGAGCATTTTTACGAGGAGTTGAGAATATCAATTTGGCATCATTTCAAAAGCAACTAATAGGAGCAGAACATATTTGAAAGACACATTCTGGGATAAAAAGTTCAATTTCAAAAAGCTGGTACAAATAATACACCCCAGTGGCGACACAGTCTCAGAATCATTGCGACACTCATGACTGCCTTTCGAAACTCGTGTGACCCTTCTACGAAAATTTGCTTAGTCACTCGTTATGAAATTTGGCAGCGTTCCAAAACGCATGCCACTTGGCAGCAATCCAATCCAAAGATCAGTGTATTTCATCATAATTTTTACGTCTGCGGCCTCCTCATTTGCCATGAACCAATAATCAGGCGGAATGATGAGTCAGCACGAATTCGTTATATATTACGTAGTGATTCGCGCGATGATACTTCGAGAGATCTCAGGGATTACCGAAGTAGAGTTTCAGACAGGAAAAGCTCAGAAATTTGGAAGCAGGAAGCGAATAAAGTAAGAAAGATGCAGGAAAAGGAGTTAAAACAAGGAAAGGACCGCCGCTTCGTGCAGCATGGCCCCTGCACGCTGCAGCAAACGGTAGCGCTCGCGCGGAGTTGTGTAACTGCACGCGGCGCTGGCACCGTTACTCAGATACTTTCTCCGGCTGGTGACCGGGCGATGACCGGCTGAGGCAACACCTCAATTCCGGGCGAGCCGGCCGCCGGCCGCCCGCCAGCCGGTGTTTGCACGCAAACGGCGCGGACGCCAGCCGGCTTTCCAGCGCAGCGGATTATCGGGGCACGACCCGCCAGTTTAGTTTCGTTGACTATATTATTATTCTGGTCATATAGTGTTGTACAAAAATCTCTTATAATATTTTATTCGATATCTACAAGCGGGACAACAGAGAAGACACGAATTATGTTCAACATATGTACAACATACAACATGTGTAAACACGATACTAAGAACATATTGCATTACATATGGTGCATTCTCCAAAACTGTTCCCATCGGAACTTCAACGTGGCTTCTCGATCATTTCAACAGTCAGCTTCGGATAAGCGCCTTATTTGCTGGAGTCAACGCGTTAAAATGGTCGAAAGACAGGCACGTTGATGGCTTATATGGGAACAATTCTGGGATGCACGACACAAACAGTGAGCAAATCCGCATGTAGACTTGAGCTTAGAAACTGAAGCTAGAAGAAACGACTCCGCTCCCAAGATTCGTGACACGTATCTCACAAAAAAGTAAGAAGTCAGCCGCGTGTACCTGCAAATAAAGATAATAGGGATCTTATGAAGAGAGCCAACTGCAGTAGGTTACATTCATTACAAGTTCCAACACTAAAGAGGAAGATTAAACAAGAAACAAATTGCTCACCTGTTGCAGTATGCATGGACAACACCGATGAACAGACTATTTATTTCCATATGTATCCACTTATTTTCCCAACCATCAATAAATAACCAACCACCAAGTTGTTAGAGCACTTATTATATAGACAGAATATTCTCCGGAGCACACAAATAAGCAGATAATCCAAGCTCAACCACAACAGAAACTCCATCATTAGCAGTCTCAAGCATTTCAACTTGTGAACTAACGCACTCCAATCTGAAAAATGTTTGAGGATATGCTGGTCGATAAAGAAATGTCAAACATGTACCTATGAGGGTCCTCCTTTTTCGTGGGGATGGAAGCAGACCAAATGACCAAATAACAGAGGGAAATCACATGAAAACACTAGTAAACATTTTTGAGCACAAACAATATGACAGTTTAGTGACGACATGGAAGCTTTCCTAGTCTGCTGAAACTGAAAACAAAGATGAGTGATGAAACATGACTACACACGAACAGCATGTAAATAAAGACACAGTACCAAAAAATAATCACGAAAAAACAAGAATCAAAAGGTCTTGTAAGGCGCGTAGTGATGATGAAATCGCATGCTCACTATTGAATCTGACGGTATTCATGATTTTGTGCGCCTTCGCGCGCTTTTGCGGACGCGACCGGAAGCCAGCCGGTGGTAGTTTCCAGCCCGCTCCTCGGCCGGTATTAGGCTCCGCCCCAAAACATGGCGCGGCCCTCGGCCGGAAGGCCGTCGTCGCCCGGTCACCAGCCGGAAAAAGTATCGAGTAGACGTATTATACACCACCGCCCGGGTGGGAACCGGGTGTGCGCACAATATCAGACGAAGAATCAAAGTCACACTGCGCTCCATTTCATACGAGTGCGCCAGCCATAGTCCAGCTCAGGGTCAAGCAAGGGGTGTGGCACACGATCGCTGGTTACGACCCCCCCCCCCCCCGATTGCTGTCTTAATAAGACCCCACCCCCGCCCCTGAACTATATACCTAAGATAGCATTACCAGAGTTGAGAAAGAGGCAGGCACAAGTCTTTCGACCCCCCCCCCCTTCCCATGAAAGCCCTCAAACGACCCCTTCTTCCTCCTCTTAACCTCTGGACCTCAAAGTGTGACATTCTGGAGGACATCATCTTTTTCTAGAGAGTCTTCAGATTTCTGAGAGCTGTGCGCCCGATTTTCTGTGACTGCACTTTACAATCACACGTAATTTGACGGCTGATTTTGATCTGAATGGGCATATTGAAAGGGCCGTAATTTTCTTATGGGTAGGGCGTTCGGCTCCAAATTTCCAATGTAGCAAGAGGAAGCTATGTGCTCGATACTCATACCAGCAATGGAGCGCTTTCTGGATTTTGAAGGCAAGTTAAGGGGGTGTGCCGCACCCCATTAACTATATCAAAAAAACATTTTTAGCGGACAGTATTTATATGAATCGATAGCCTAAATTTTGTATCGTCGACTCTAAAAATCGTGACGACGGTCTGCAGTGCGGCCAGTGCGCGCCGCACGGCACTGCCGCCTAGTGATTCGCCCAAATTACGTGGAGAAGGTGAGTTCTTGTGGTTTTTCTTTTTCTTTTTGCATCTTTTTTGCTTGCAGGAACTTTCATGGCTACCGCAGGGAGTCTACACTGCAGAGAAGCAAGATTGCCCTACGATAAAGCGGCAGTGCCGTGCGGCGCGCACTGGCCGCACTGCAGACCGTCGTCACGATTTTTAGAGTCGACGATAGATTCCATAGGACTGTTTGGAGCCTGATTTGTCTTCTTAGCTCTAAGTAATATTTGGTGAAAGCACAGCGATTAAAAGCGAAAATTGGGAAAAACGAGATCTTGGTTGGCTTCTAATTCCACAGTTTGCAGGCCTTCTGAAGCGGGATTCCTGAGGTGGACAAAGAAGGAGTAGTGCTTTGTCTCGAGTGCAAAAACGGATAGCTAATTCACCTTTGAAACAAAGTTAACGATGTTGGAATTTGACTATTTCATTTAGGTAGCCTAGTTTGAATCTTCAGAATTCGCTCACACTTTGTTCACAGGGGTTATTTGACATGCTAATTATGGATAGGATACGAATATCATGTTATCACTATTATCAGATTACCCAACTACGACCCCCTCCCCTTTTGACTCCTCAATACGACCCCCCAGGTGTGGCGTGCCGCACCTCACGCTTGACCCTGGTCCAGCTCAGATACAGCGTCTCGTGCAGCACGCATCCCTCTAGCTGATGCGTGCTGCACGCATCAGCTAGAGGGCTGATCTTCTGTTGATGAGGCCAATCTGACGCTCAAGCACGTGAGATCAGCCTCATCGACAAGCGCGGAGCCGTGCGAGCACTCACAGTGACACATATTATAGACCATAGTATGCACTAGATTCCGACTGAACTCCTGATTTCACCATAGTTTCATGCCGCTCTTGTCATCATAAAGGCTATTCGGAAAATCGCGACGATGGCGCGACCGCGCGCTAAACGCAGGCACTTCAGCAATCGCAATTTTCTTGATTTCTATCTCTGCTCGAATGGCTTTTCTTCTTAGATACATATGATAATATTCAGACACTGAAAGTAAATGAGGAGCGTTGAAGTGATACCTGTTTGCATGGGTGTTTTATGCTTCTGTGTCCGACCGTAGTCAAACTCATCGTCACGATTTTTAGAATGAACTATACCAATGATTCTCCCCTGTGAGCTTCAGCATTACATCGCCTCAGGACCATTAAGGAATAGCGCACAGATTTTCTTTGACATATGATCTCGATTTTTCAGCGGTTTATCCATCGGCATTCGAAATTTAATTCAGGAAATTTTCATTTCCTTCCATTCAGCTCGCTTCGTGTAAATCCACCGTTTCGCACTTCTTTCGGCGTGTACCCGCATGCCATCGGAAGGATATATGCCAAAATGGTTCCGAGACGGAGTATATGATGATGATGAGGGAAAGGTACTGTGGTGCAGCCAAAAAAGCCACAGATCCAAAAGGAAACGCAAGACTGCTTCCACTTCCCTGAGGTAGCTCTTTTGACTAATCCCCTAAAGTTTGGCTAATGTCTTAAGTTGTTGTTTAGACCAGTCTTTGCGCTGGCGGATGATTCAGCCGCTTTGCCATGGAACGCTAACCGTCGCGTCGAACAACAAAGTAATCGATTTTTCGAAAAGAATGTTCAGCCTATTTGTTGTCCCTGTCCCTCTGTAAGACGTTAGACGTTCGGTAGCATTCTTATCACTTTTTTCTTTCATACAAAGCTCACGAAACTAACTACAACTGTGTCCGGTGCAATTCGCTGGGAAGAGGAGAAACAGTTGCTCCTCTGAAATGATCTCTTTACTTCCACTCTGAAAAGGACCCATTCAGACAACACTGAGCAAAGTGGAGATAGATGTTTGGATATGAAGCCAAAAGTTGGCAGCCGGCCACAGTAGCAGAGCGGTTGTGGTATTCATGTCCAGCGTAACAAACCACCCATGAAAGTGTTTAGAGCAAGTCCGTAGTCTGACCCATGTCGTATTGCTACCGTAATTCTATGAAAAGGCCCTACCCGAGAAAAATATGGTACTCGTGATCAGCATGGGGTAGTTGAACGAACCGACCAGTTTGTGGCGCCCTCGCGTTTTACCGGTCGTGCACAGACATGCAAACCAAAAGGACCATTGACAGCGGTTTAAAATGGCGGCTTTTGTTCACACTGTTGTATAGACCTCGACACGATACCCAATTGACATCGTGCGTCAAAAATGCGTAATTGATGTAAATACAGTGTACACTACTTACCTCAACCTGTAATTAATATTTTTTCAACATGTACTTCCTCCCCATCTCTCTGGAGTTGGGAAAATGACTGAAGAAAGTATTGGTAGAACCGATTGATTTTAAATATCACTACTCGTACTGAAATCTTATATCATGGGGGTTATTTATCATGCTGATTCCAAAAATGGTACTCATTTTGCTTGATAGCCGTTCACCGATTCCCCATAGCTAAGTTTGGAGTTATTTGATGTGCCAAGTGGAAGTGCAGGTCAGAGGTAAGGAGGCAGTCTCTCCAGATTACTCACGTGATTACCGATGTTTCCAGATTGCCTATTCCAATTACTTTTATCACTTCTGACATTCATTGAGCTTTCGATGCTATCGTAGGTTCGAGCGCGTAAGAGGTAATGTATGATGTTTGGTAAATTTTTTTCAAACTAATCTATCAAATTGAAGGTATTTTTATGACCTGGAAACTCGGAAGAGCAAGTTCTACCATTGTTAGACATTATGTGCACAGCAGTCTCGAGTCTCCCATTCATAGAATAGATGATATGCGAAATGAGTATCATCTTTTAACTTGTGCAAAACAAACTAAACAGAATCTAAGCGATTCTGTTCAGTAACGGGCAGCTGCTGCAGCTAAAATAAACGACTATCGAGCAAAATGAGTACCATTTTCGGAATCAGCATGATAAATAACCCCCATGATTTAAGATTTCAGTACGAGTAGTGATATTTAAAATCAATCAGTTTTACCAATACTTTCTTAATTCATTTTCTCAACTCCAGAGAGACGGGGAGGAAGTACAAGTCGAAAAAATATTAATTACAGTTGAGGTAAGTAGTGTACACTGTATTTACATCAAGTACGCATTTTTGACGCACGATGTCAATTGGGTATCGTGTCGAGGTCTATACGACAGTTTTGTTCACTAATTATCAGCATGTCAGAAGACCCCTAGGCCAAATTAGCTGCGTAGGTTTCGAACATGTACCGCATACCCACCGTACCCACAACATATTTGTGCAAATAGAGTATGATCTTTACGACCAGCATGTTAAATAAGCCTCTAGATAGTTTGAGCAGGATCCACGACTTTAAAGTTTTGAGAGTCATAGATACTGGAATAGTGCCGTAGAAAACTTTTGCCGGGAAAGGGGGCTTTTCCCTAAAATTTTTCTAGAGTTGTAAACGTAGTTCCGGATTGATGATAGCGGTGATGCACACAGTCTGACTAGAAAATCTACGTGCGCATAGTGTTACCGAGTTTCCGATCTTGCTACGAGGAATTCTACCTGCTAGAGAATGAGGGCTGCAAGCAAGCATTCAATAGAATCCAAACTTGTTTAATCCTCGATCTACAATGAAGAGAACACTTGAGATGAAGACGAGCTTCGACTTGTTGAGCTCGCGTAAATTCGACACATCATGAAACTGCTCTTTCTAGAAGGAACATCTGCTCAATCCTCAACAGAGCCGACTCACTTGTCAGGCTTCGTCTAGTTCACGCTTGCGCAAGTTATTGCTGTGATGTGTATTTACACAAAAATATCTGATGGTACCGTATTCAGAAATATTTCAACTCGATTTTTTTTGCACCGGTTTCGCTTTATTTGATCCTTTTTAGCAGTGTGCAGCTCTAGCAACATTTTCAGTCAAACAGGGCGAAAGAGGGACCTTACTCTTGATAACACCACTTGTCTTTTTTTTTTGATGGCTGGGTTTATCGTTGAGATGTTTTAGGTGGACTTTTTACGCCGATGTGATTCTTGGATCGTTCTTTTCAATATTGTTTCATTTATGGTACTCAGCACACTCACTTGATAGCTCTAACTTCCATTGTCTTAGTGTCATTTCACTGTCAAATTTTCAACCGTTGAGTACTATAAAAAACTCGAGATTTCAGCAATTGTACGATATCAACCAGAAGACTGGACACTTGACTTCAGCTTGGAAGGAATGACTTCTGCATCCGAGTTAGAAGTATGTTTGAAAACTCCATCAGGGGCAGTTCTGATGTTGATTCTAATTACGCACATCGAAGCTGTTTTGACTATATTTGAAGCAAGACTGGCATTGGCTCCTCATGTTTTCCTCCCGACCATCAAATATCAATATGACGAGGAAGTCTTTCAAAATTTGATGCATCGACTGCGCTTAGATGGTCCTCGTTCTGTGACCAACTTGGTCACACACAACACCGACCGAGCTGAGCTTGATTTTCTTTGCGGGCTGCCTTTCATCTTTTATGAAGAGCCACAAAAGTAACGTAACTGCTTGTGCATCTGTCCTCACTCGGCATAGCAGAAGCGTCTCAGCCAAAATTTCTGCTCATTTGGTGCTAGGTGTTTTTTGCTGCAATCAGGAAGTGCTCACAGCTTTCTATAGTTTTAACCCCTGAAGTATGTAGATTTAGAAAAAAAAATGTGGCACATAGGCAGAAATTCAATAATACGTCGTAGCATGTAAGCTACCGTAGCCAGCAAGTAACCTTTAAGATCCCCTAGAGAGTTCTTATACTTCGAGCATCGACTCATGGAATGACAAGTTTATTTAGTTTGATATTGATCTACCGTCACCGGAGCCTTCTGAGAAGATGTCGGGATTGTCTTGTTCTTCCGAAAATTCTGATAAATCTAGTAAGTTCTTCATTTGATGGAACACTATATATAGATGACTGCAAGATACAGTATTTTGCATGTTGATTCCAATTCAAAGTGTGTATCCTATTTCCCTGATTCCCATTCAAGGATCAAGAAGGAAAGAGGGACGTCCACTATATGTCCCCCCAGCTCGTCGCAGATCTGGGGACTCGATCGGAAAGGAAGGAGCTTCACATGAGTTAGTGAGACCAAACTATTTAGCAGCCAGTTTGATCATATTTGTTACCATTACAGCTCGCCAAAGTCTCCTAACATCGAAATCGGACCTACACGCAAAAACCATACGTTGCTTGGAAAACAGGACAACCTTGTTTGCAGTACAAATATGTAAATTCATTTAATCCTTGATATATTTTTGGTTACTGTTCTGCTTTCCTGTGTTTGAGGCTCGCCAAGCTCTCTGCTGATACTAATAACGATGAACCTTCTTCCGTTCATGGCGGTGATGCACAACAGAAGGAAAAGAAGTATAAACTAATGTTTTGTACGTTTTTGGAACCTTCACTTTCAAGTGTTTCAGACTAAGTGGTGATGAACTCCTCCCTCGACCACTTCTGGTGAAGGTAAAAGAGGAAAGGATACATCCTGATTCTCCACCGAGCACGTCGGAAAGCAAGTGTGTGAGTTTCTTGCCTGAAAATGTCATCGTATTATGTCTCACTCGCATACCCTCAATAATTTTCCAAATGTTTGTACAAAGTGCATTGGGAGGGAATTCGCAGTCAATGTCTCATTTAGTTTATCTTGCTTAATTTAGCAGATTGCGGTTGCTTCACCTGTCAAAGCTCCCTCTATGCGCAAAGGCCTATGTACCACGGTGAATCTCATTTAATTTAGAGTGTCACATTTTCATGTAGCTTACCATACTCTTCTGAATTAGCCTAAGGCTTCTGACAGCGCCTTTGATTTGTCGTTGGTGAAAAGATAATATTGTGCTTAGTCTAAAAATCTTCACGCTTTTAGAGGTTGAATGGGCGGATCGGCCACGCAGAAAGGAAAGAGCATACGTACGAAAACGTAGGTAATATTAGACTCGTAAATTTCAAGGAATTTGATTTGCTCTGGTTTTAGATCCGGTCCGATGTGCACAATTATTACATAGATTCGCATTGTCATCTAGATTTTATCTTCAAGAAATATGGCTCTGGAGGTCTGGATGAGTGGCTTCGATCCGAGCCTGCTATAATGCATGACAAATTTTTGGGTAATATTTACTTCCTCAATTCATCTATTTCTTTTGTTAAGAACCAAGTTTATCTGTCATTCAGGATGCGAATTTATTATTCATTTAGGATGCATACCAAATTTTATCGAACCAAGTTTATTTGTCAGGGATGAACGGAATTCTAATCTGTATGATATGGACTGGATATTGGAACAGTTAAATGTATATAGTCATTTCTGTCTACTACTAAGAGATCTCTGATCATTTGATAGTGCTTGCTGTATTAATTAGTTTCAGAGTAAGTACGTATTAGGAGCTGCATATGGATGCCATCCACATTATGCGGACACCTATAGAGATAGTGTAAGTATAGGTCGTTCGAAATTATTGTTTATCATCTACTCGGTCTACAGATCTATGACAAGCTCAATGAACTTCTGGAAGACCGACACCGGTCAAAAATTCTTGCAATTGGAGAATGCGGACTGGACTACATGAAGTGTGTTTGTTTGATTTTGGGTTAATCGGGTTTTTTTTTGAGGCATACTCATTTTCATCAAAATTAGAAAAAATTTGCAATTCATGAATGCCAACGCTAGTATCAGCATTTTCTGTGTTAAGGTTGTGGAAATGAATGCAGTTTTTGCAGAAGTGAGGTGGATTCATCTGTACAAGTTGAGGTCTTCAACGCACAGTTGGCTCAGGCAAAAAATTTCGAGGTCCCTCTGGTAATCCATTGTCGCTCCGGACCCAGAGGACCTGGCAATGCCGAAGATATTTGTTTGTCTACTATGAAAGCTATCGTAAGTTCCCTCTCTTGATTGTTTCTACAACTGCATAGGCAATATACAAGGCTTCGTTACTTTCGTGGTCACGTAAGCAGGTCTCAGTAAGGCTTCAGAGCGCGCACATTGCCGCGTCTGTGGTAGGCGCTGGACTTAACCGATTAGTTGGTTTGGCAAACGCGGCGCAAACTAAAATAATGCCATTTGGTGCCACGTTGGAGGTAAATCGAAGCGCTGTCCGCGAGAAAAAGTTATATACTAAAAATAACATACAGTAACCTGCGCTCTTCACTCAAGTTTTCTTGCGCAAACACACTTTTCCACTTAGTCAGCTTCGCCACATCATGTCATCCTAGCAAGGGAAAGCTACAACTCCCATTTATCCATTCTCTAAGAACTCGCGTGCACCCTGAGCGGGGAACGGAACTTACATATCAGGTTCGGCGTAATAAATTTTTTCAATGTTTCTCAATAGTGATTGCACATCAAAAAAAGCTCGACATCGTGAAAAATTTCATAGTGACACTACTAAACAAATTTTTCGATGTTTCTAGAGAAGTTCTTCCAGACGGCTGATCTCGTAGTGCTCTATCTCAGGCAGCGGATAGGACCCCTCCGCCGGAGAAATGGCAGGGTCGCGGCGTTTCCCCAGCGGTGGGTCTCCCATTTGTCCGGCGGAGCCCTCCCATTTCTCCGGCGGAGACCTCCCATTTCTGCTCCGGATACCTCCCATTTTCTGCTCCGGATACCTCCCATTTTCTGCTCCGGATACCTCCCATTTTCTGCTCCGGATACCTCCCATTTTCTGCTCCGGAGCCCCCCGATTTTGTGCGCCGGAGCCCCCCGATTTTCTGCTCCGCAAGTCTGCCGCGGCATACTGTAATTAGCCCTAATTAAGCTCCAAACCCCATGTGGGTTTGGAGCTTAATTAGGGCTAATTACAGTATGTTGCGGCAGACTTCGTCTTGTCTCTAAACTTTGTCGACTTTGTCTCTAAACCCCACCCAAATCAGCCGAATACGACCCCCCGGGTAAGAGTTCAGCGCGACCCTCAACCCCGTCTTTACCCCATCCCTCTCACCCCTAGCGTTTGTGGATAGAAGATAGAAGAAAGAACGAAGAGATAAGACATTTATTTCAAATTTTTCAAACTTCTTCGAAAAATCATTTTATATCGTTAATCATTTCACACCCACTGGTGTAACGAAGAATGAACCTTTCCAACCAAACAACGGTTTGTGGAACAGTTAAATTGCAGTCGCAGTTGGCCCATATCATCGGCGACTCTTAAAAGCCTTAAAAGCCTCTTAAGCCTGATAAACACCATTAAATTTTTCTGAGATATGTGAAAGACATCTTACCATTACGTAGTAATCTCCGAGGTTGATCTCTTAAGTTTTGCCAACAGGTGACAAAGCAGTCAGAAGCGCCTTGTTCTGATCGGTTACTCCTTTAGCGGCGAGATTAAAATTGGTCATAGCCTAAAAGAGCTACCAGTATATACTGAAGTTATTAGAAAGCTGCTTGTATTACACACTTTCAAGGGTTTTCCTATTCCAGAGTATGCAATGGCACTGTAAAATGTCATGACAGGGCGAAGTTCATCAGGGATACTGCTTGCAGATAAAGTGCAAAGGTTCTAAATGCACCAAGTCCATTGCGTGATATAATGGAAAAACATGAATTGAATCAGTGGTATTTGAAAATTATAGCTTGCAAAGACACCTACCATCAAAACTGCATACTGCTCATGCAATGCTAAAGATCTGGCCAAGAAAACCTGCGCGGAATATGGTGATAGAAATAGTAATCCAGCCTGGACATAATCTATTTGACAAAACAAGAACGACACTGCATTGAATTATACCTCGAGTACTTTGTCAGAAAAACGTTGAATTCCGGGGATGGGTCAGCTTCTTCAAAGCGTCCTATGTGCGCTACCTTACTCAGCCAATCCACGCCCTCTCCTTTGAAGAACCAACTACATAGGGACACCTGCACATTATCCCTAGAAAGATTTCGAGACACTAGATTCCGCATATCTGGGACACGCATGCGTCTATTCAGGCCCACTTTGCCAATTTCAGAGACAGCTGATCGTCAAACAATCTATAATATTGATGATATTGCTGAGTTTCCTTTCGAGATCAGAAAACTCAAACATCGGATAGTCGTAACGCCCCTGAAATCTTATTGAAATACCACAAACTTGAGAAAACTGTTTTTACCCACACTGTCTTCAGAGTAGAGCTGATTAATGCTAGCAAGCTCCGTGCAATATCAAGACGCTGTTTCACCACGTGCCGTAGTCGTGCTGCTATGAGTCCGCAAGTAAAGGATCCACCAAATAAAGTGTCATCGGGAGTCGGCTCTACTGTACTATCATTCATTCAAACAAAGGATAAGTAGAAATGCTATATACCAATGATACCTGGGGGAGATTGAGATGCTTGGATGGCTTCCAAGAACAAACTTATGATTTGAGACCATTTCTGGACCACCTAAGTTTAGAAATCCGTAATCACTAATATCCAATAAACGCATGTCAAATCTCACAATCTGTGATCGCATGAAAGTAGAATCATGGGCGGGTCCGTCCGATATCACATACTCAGCTAGCCCAAGCTCGTCTTCCTCCTGAATTCTGAGGATAAATGGTGGTTTGAAACGCCCAGTAAACAAAAGTCCTCTTCCCCTGATATGAGACTAACATCATGAAAAAAGAAAAGTAAAAACAAGGATTCACCAACAAAATCAAACAATTTGACTAAACAGATATCAGACCTTAGCCGCAGCTCTCTCCTATGCGATAGAAACCATTTTATCCATGCCTTCAGGTGGTTGGTGCCTCACGGAACACAACTTCTTCTGCTTTATCGTTTGGGAAAGAAACGCGGTGAATTAAACGTTGTTGGAAAGCAAGCTCAGTCCTTTCTTGACATTACTCACATTTATTGGCATGTAAGGTGACAACAACCAGTTGTCCTTCAGCCATGCAATAGGCGATCTAAATGATAGACTGCAAAATTTACTGCGTACTTTAGATGAGGATAAGCACACCTTGGTAAACTGCGGCTCGTGCACAGGGGCTTTCAATCCGAGTGTCACGGTCGACGTGGTTCACCCCCTCGAGAGCCGCGTCGCATGGGTCTCTCACGTGGCACAAGGCCGCATCCGCTAAGGCCTTCGCGTTACCGGGTGCGGTCGTGTACTACGTGAGAGACCCATGCGACGCGGCTCTCGAGGGGGTGAACCACGTCGACCGTGACACTCAGATTGAAAACCCCTGTATAACAGATGCGCGAAACGCCGCAAGCATTGCCGCAAGCATACGCATGAGCTCCGTGCCCAACCAATCAATAACTCGTGACAAAGTGTAAATTGAACATACCAAAGAATAAAACGATCAGGGAACTGACTGTTCGCGGGAAACGTGCAAACGCCTGAAGATGGCTCAACATTTGCATTGATGGAATGCAAAGCGGCATCTGAAGACAATCAAAAAATCAAAACTCCCGAGACTCCGAGAAAAGAAGTAGAGCTGTGACTTACTAGTATTCACTACTAATGTCCGCACTGGGTTTGGCGCAAAACTCTCGGTGAAAACAACCTCTGTATCGTAAATGGGATCCATACCAGTAAACACAGATATCTTGAGTTGGTTTGGTTACGTCTAAACATAGTGTATACTAAACTGAGGTCAAAATCAACAACAACAACAGAAAGAGTAGAAGTGCTAAAGCTGAAGGTAAAAAAGCTGCATTACGAAAATTTTGAAAGCAATGCTGCACTGTGCTGTGCTGCATTGCACAATGCAATGCATGCTCTTCACAGTTCATTACCTCTGCCCTGAAAACAAAATACGGTATGTAAAAAACAGTCATACTGATAATTCGCGGAAAACCGCATGATAATCCCACACAGACACGCGAGATGCGAACCACGCAAACGGCAAAGTGATTCATCGGTGGAGATAGCAATAAACGGATTATTTAGACGATACTTTCATCACAACAACACTAGATAGTTGCGCAACTAACCTCATTGTTTCGAAAATCCAGAATTAATCACAAAAACCACTCCATCAATAGTCCACGATGTCTCAGCAAGTCGGAAAGAGCCAAACACTGAAGGTGATTGAGTGCAACCGCACGAAAATTTGAAACATAAACCTGAAAACGAGGAACTTACAGCAACATAAACGCCAACGCGACGAAGAGCAACGCGGAAAAGAAAAAAAACGGTAAAGAAACGCGCAAAAACAACAAAATCAAAGAAACGGCGACTAAAATATGAACAAAGAGCGTAAACAGAGGACTCATCACCGTGGAGTTAGACGTTTGCTTGCTACGCGCCAAATCGATACGCAGCCTGCTCCGGATACCTCCCATTTTCTGCTCCGGATACCTCCCATTTTCTGCTCCGGATACCTCCCATTCTGCTCCGGATACCTCCCATTTTCTGCTCCGGATACCTCCCATTTTCTGCTCCGGAGGCCTCCCATTTCTGCTCCGGACCCCTCCCATTTTCTCCGGCGCGGCTCTTCCAAATTTGGCGGACACGCGCCGCGCAAATTTCTCCGGCGCGGAGTCCGCCAAATCTGGCAGAGTCGCGCCGGAGAAATGGCGGACCTTTGCAGCAGGGCCGGAGAAGCCTCCCATTTGCCTGCCAGTGTCGGAGATTCCGGCGGAGGGGTCCCGTCGATTGTCTGAGATGTGCTGGAGGCTCCTATAATCCCGCAATAATAAGAGCCATGGGTAATCTTTTTCCTGCAGATTTAAGCTGGAGCGGTTCTAAAATGGCACCTCAAAGAGTGCAAACGTCGTGGTGTGAAGAGAGATATACGCGGTCAGAGAGTTTATGGATATCTTGAGACACTGTATAATCTGTGGATATCGAAATCTCTAATATTCGATGTTCAGCGACTTTTCGACTGGACAGTGCTAATCGTTTCGATAATTCTAATACTCGATGAGCAGCGAATGATCGAATTAATGACCATGCAAGTTCCATAAAAGTTCGTTAAGTAAGTAGCAGAACATCTATCGCTTTGGAAGTAGAAATACACCATAAGAATTAGTGTACTACAAAAAACACTTTTCTCTCAGAATCAATTTCGACAGCAACGAAATCAATCGTCTAAGAACTTTGTTAAAGAATCCTTATTTTTTCGCTGAAGGAATATGAAGCTTTACTACAAAAGGGAGCCACCTAAAGACCGTCAATCATAAGAACTGCACAAACGCACATGAAATTTCTTTCCCTGTCCGATCAAACTGCCCTACGTGCCGCTTGAAGACCGTTTAAAAATTATAAGGACCGCCCCAAACATTCAAAAATCTGTTTTCCTGCCCAATCGGATTGCCCTACGTGCCGCTTACAGACCGATAGTAACTATTCAAAAAAGAAGATTTATTCCCTATGTGCCGCTTGATAACCGTTCAAAAATTACAAGAACTGCCCCAAACATACAAAAATCTGTTTCCCTGCCCGATCGGGTTGCCCTACGTGCCGCCTACAGACCGATAGTAACTATTCAAAAATAAAGTTTATTCCCTGCGTGCCGCTTGAAGACCGAAAAAATTACAAGAACTGCCCCAAACATACAAAAATCTGTTTCCCTGCCCGATCGGGTTGCCCTACGTGCCGCTTACAGACCGATAGTAACTATTCAAAAATAAAGTTTATTCCCTACGTGCCGCTTGAAGACCGAAAAAAATTACAAGAACTGCCCCAAACATCAAAAAATCTGTTTCCCTGCCCGATCGGGTTGCCCTACGTGCCGCTTACAGACCGATAGTAACTATTTAAAAATAAAGTTTATTCCCTACGTGCCGCTTGATAACCGTTTAAAAATTAGAATAACTGCCCCAAACATACAAAAATCTGTTTCCCTGCCCGATCGGGTTGCCCTACGTGCCGCTTACAGACCGATAGTAACTATTTAAAAATAAAGTTTATTCCCTACGTGCCGCTTGATAACCGTTTAAAAATTAGAAGAACTGCCCCAAACATACAAAAATCTGTTTCCCTGCCCGATCGGGTTGCCCTACGTGCCGCTTACAGACCGATAGTAACTATTTAAAAATAAAGTTTATTCACTACGTGCCGCTTGAAGACCGAAAAAATTACAAGAACTGCCCCAAACATCAAAAAATCTGTTTCCCTGCCCGATCGGGTTGCCCTATGTGCCGCTTACAAACCAATATTATCTATCTAAAAAGAAGGTTTATTCCCTACGTGCCGCTTGATAACCGTTCAAAAATTACAAGAACTGCCCCAAACATACAAAAATCTGTTTCCCTGCCCGATCGGGTTGCCCTACGTGCCGCCTACAGACCGATAGTAACTATTCAAAAATAAAGTTTATTCCCTGCGTGCCGCTTGAAGACCGAAAAAATTACAAGAACTGCCCCAAACATACAAAAATCTGTTTCCCTGCCCGATCGGGTTGCCCTACGTGCCGCTTACAGACCGATAGTAACTATTTAAAAATAAAGTTTATTCACTACGTGCCGCTTGAAGACCGAAAAAATTACAAGAACTGCCCCAAACATCAAAAAAATCTGTTTCCCTGCCCGATCGGGTTGCCCTACGTGCCGCTTACAGACCGATAGTAACTACTTAAAAATAAAGTTTATTCCCTACGTGCCGCTTGATAACCGTTTAAAAATTAGAAGAACTGCCCCAAACATACAAAAATCTGTTTCCCTGCCCGATCGGGTTGCCCTACGTGCCGCTTACAGACCGATAGTAACTATTTAAAAATAAAGTTTATTCCCTACGTGCCGCTTGATAACCGTTTAAAAATTAGAAGAACTGCCCCAAACATACAAAAATCTGTTTCCCTGCCCGATCGGGTTGCCCTACGTGCCGCTTACAGACCGATAGTAACTATTCAAAAATAAAGTTTATTCCCTGCGTGCCGCTTGAAGACCGAAAAAATTACAAGAACTGCCCCAAACATCAAAAAATCTGTTTCCCTGCCCGATCGGGTTGCCCTACGTGCCGCTTACAGACCGACAGTAACTATTCAAAAATAAAGTTTATTCCCTACGTGCCGCTTGAAGACCGAAAAAATTACAAGACTGCCCCAAACATCAAAAAAATCCGTTTCCCTGCCCGATCGGGTTGCCCTACATGCCGCTTACAGACCGATAGTAACTATTTAAAAATAAAGTTTATTCCTTACGTGCCGCTTGATAACCGTTTAAAAATTAGAAGAACTGCCCCAAACATACAAAAATCTGTTTCCCTGCCCGATCGGGTTGCCCTACGTGCCGCTTACAGACCGATAGTAACTATTTAAAAATAAAGTTTATTCCCTACGTGCCGCTTGATAACCGTTTAAAAATTAGAAGAACTGCCCCAAACATACAAAAATCTGTTTCCCTGCCCGATCGGGTTGCCCTATGTGCCGCTTACAGACCAATATTATCTATCTAAAAAGAAGGTTTATTCCCTACGTGCCGCTTGATAACCGTTCAAAAATTACAAGAACTGCCCCAAACATACAAAAATCTGTTTCCCTGCCCGATCGGGTTGCCCTACGTGCCGCTTACAGACCGATAGTAACTATTCAAAAAAAAGTTTATTCCCTGCGTGCCGCTTGAAGACCGAAAAAATTACAAGAACTGCCCCAAACATCAAAAAAATCTGTTTCCCTGCCCGATCGGGTTGCCCTACGTGCCGCTTACAGACCGATAGTAACTATTCAAAAATAAAGTTTATTCCCTACGTGCCGCTTGAAGACCGAAAAAATTACAAGAACTGCCCCAAACATCAAAAAAATCTGTTTCCCTGCCCGATCGGGTTGCCCTACGTGCCGCTTACAGACCGATAGTAACTATTTAAAAATAAAGTTTATTCCCTACGTGCCGCTTGATAACCGTTTAAAAATTAGAAGAACTGCCCCAAACATACAAAAATCTGTTTCCCTGCCCGATCGGGTTTCAACAGACTTTTGTATACCAAAACGGTGACAAGTTTTCCTCTCTTGCACAGCAAACCTGCAGAGAATACAGGGCCTAAATATCACTCATCTCAGATTTCAGTAAAATAAAAACAAATTTCTTCACTCATCTTTCGTTTGTTTTGTTAGTTCTTTCAGACGTTCCGTTACATCTGCTAATTTGTATCTGCTATTTGTACCTACAGGCGGATGTCATATTTGGAGTAAAATCTCTCTCACTGAGTGTTTTCAAGATACTAAACACCTCACAAAGAAGAGTCGAATTTGTAATGAACTCAATTTTAGCTCCGATGTTACCGGGAATACGCTTGGCAAATTTCTACCTCAAAATTTCCCTCTCCATAGAAAATAAATTTTCGGCGATAACAATCTTATTAGAAGCAAATGTCAAAGAACATAGAAGCACAAGAGAATGATGATCCAACTGCGAAAGCACTTCCGGTCAGATTAGATTCCCCTCTCCTTAGAAACCAAATCATCGGCGATGACAATCTCTTATTAAGATATTCTCGAATGAGAAGAATCCAGAACAACAGTTACTGGAAGAAATTCTAGAATGAACGTGGAAATTAGAACAGTTCCTAGGATGGTCAAAACTGCAGACGTGAAAAATAATGACGATATCGATCGAAAACACGCCCGAAGCATGCCGTTATGCATGTGTGTTGTTTCAGTTGCCCATACTTACGAAATTTGGCACCGTTCCAAAAGCTTACGAAAATCTGGCATCGTGCCAACTGACTTACTCACCGCTAATGGCAGCAATCCAATTCCAAAGATCAGTGTATTTCATCATAATTTTTACGTCTGCGGCCTCCTCGTTTGCCATAATCCAACTATCAGAGGACTATTGCGTAATCAACGAATTCGTTATATATTACGTAGTGATCTTAGGGCCGCATGCACTAACATTTCCGCTGGGGAGGGGATCGCAGCTTCTGAAGAAAGCTTCATATCCTGATGCTCCGGATATCTGGATTTCACGCTGTCTACCTGTCCGTAAGTTCTCCCACCATCCTTCACTATGAACATATTGAGCAGAAGCGAGAAGCTGTACAAGCCGCATTTCCCAGCTTTTTGTAGGATCCCCCGATGATCCCTGGGGGACGAACATCTATTCTTCAAAGTCATTTTTCTTTCTCCGAAGTTAACGAAAACCTTCCAAACTTATACTGAACATCTAACACAACAGTGCTAAGCACGTTGCTGATGAGAACAAATGAATTTTTGAAAAATCGAATTTTTCGCTATACCCCAAATTTCGACCTGTGGATCATCGAAAAATTCATGACTTCAAAACATCATTTGTTCTTATCAGCAACATGCTTAGCACTGTTGGGTTAGATAATCTGCACAACTTTGGAAGTTCTTCGTTAACTTCGGAGAAAGAAAAATGACTTTAAAGAAAAGCACCGGGGATCATCAGGGATCATACAAAAGCTGGGAAATGCGGTTTGTACAGCTTCTCACTCCTGTTCAACATGTTCATATTGAAGGATAGTAGGAATACTTACGGATAGATACATAACGTGAAATCCAAGTATCTGGAGTTTCGAAATATGAAGTTTTCTTTTAAGCTGCGATCCCCTCCCCGCGGCCATGTTAGTGCATGCGGCCCTTAGATGTTCGAATATTCGATCTTTCGAATCATTCGCATTCGAATGATTTATTTGAATAATCGGTCAATCATTCGATTCGATCCGAAGTATAGTACGCACTCTGAGAAGCTGGACAACATGTTCACGTAGTTCGATTTTGTGTACCGTAGTCAATGCGTCAATCTTTATTTGTGAACTTCGCCATGTAGAAACTTCATCGCAGAGTTACATTTAGGGTCTTCCTCGGTTCCACAATATCCACCGGCATTGTTTCACTGAGAATTGGGAGGTAGCGCGACGATGGATGGATGCGTTCGACAACGTTTATTTTGGTGAGACGCCATCTATCACTTGGTCCTAGTTTGTTGACTTATGCTCAGGTTCTTTTACTTGTAGGTTGCCTTTATATTAGGTGGATGCAGAATTTATGCACGTTCCTTGTCTGCGGCAGAGAAAACATTAACATTTACTACATCCGATGCAAAGCAAACTCTACAGGATAGCGCTCAAACAATCGCAGAAAGTTTGGGGGGGGGCGTCCATTACCTTTGGGTGTAAGTGAAATTTGCCGCCAGTAACCCGAGCGAGAGGCAGCAGGGCCACAGGAAGTGCTCCATAGGAGATGTTACGAGACTACCTTAATATAGTGAATAGAAAGTACACATTTCGTGGTCAGGGGACATAATTTCTGTATTTCCTTTCGCTATTCTTCTTTATTCTCACAAAAACTTCCATCAAACACTATATTGATATCAAAGTTTTGAAAGCCTTTGCAAAAGATAGAATAGTATGCCTTGCAAGTGTGCTAATCATGTTTTCTGCGGACCTGTTTACTGCCAGCCTGTCGCGCGCGGCATCTGCATAATTGACAGTCACAAGGATACACCCAAAAAGTTCGATACACGGATGTTGGAGCACAGTCTGGAAACAAATGCCCAAAATTTAGATTTTTGTCCAAAAACCCTACCGACCTCTCTTGCTCAGAAAGGTTAATGGCAAAGCTATCCATATGTAACGTGCGGTATTTTTTAATTGGCTTGTTCTAGCAAAAGCAAGCTGGACTGTTTGGAAATCATTCCACACTACAAACTGTTGGAAGAATGAGTACGTTTTCAGCTTTCTTCGACCTATCTGCCGAGAAATAAATACAAAACATTTACGACTGGACCATTTTTGGAAGCGCTCGTTGATACGTTGACGACAACGCGCGATTTTGGTTGTCTGCCTTGTGGGACAAGCCTTCCACGAATAAGTTGAAAAATTTTGGCGAAAATCCGCAGACCTCATCTACTGTTTACCTATAGTAATTCTAAGAGGCAGACGAGAATCGTAGAAGCAATCTCTAAATTCATTGCGTAGAAGTTGTGAAATAAGTGTATTCTAAAATAGAAGTCATTCCAACAAAGTCAAGCCATGACCCACCATATGGGTCACATTGCCCCACGTGGCTGTCATTGCATGACCTACCATGTGGGTCACGCTGTCGTCAATGTGTTAACGTTTCTCGGTTTGGAATTATCATGTGGGAGTCTTTTTGACACTTATTCCTCAAAGATGCGAGCTTTTCTTACAAATCTCAGGTATCTCACAAAGACTTACCAGGCAGACTATGTAGATTTTTGCATTTTTTCTTTTCAGTACCATTCAATGGTTATGTCTGGAAAATTACCCTTTGTAATGTGTTATGATATTAATTCTTTGTCTGATTTCATCCTTTATTGCTCTCAGAACATCTTTACAGAGTTTCCTTCTTCTCAGAATACCATAATTAGCAAATATTCACTACATCAGAGGTGACTCAATACAGTCGAGTAGATTTTCCGCATAATATAGTGTGCTTGCAGTGCCGAGAAAGCAGTGAAATTTGCGCGTAAACAAATAGCTATGCCTGTGATGTCAGCGTTTTACGGACAGCAATCTTAGGGATTTGAACCGTTGTGTATGTGTGCTTGCTCTGTTTAATTTAAAACGATGAACTTATACTGAGTGATTGCATCTAATGTGGCATTGTGTCCTCCTCGTTTGAGAGAACTTCAACACGTTTGGGACCGCGAAATCGCACGCGCCAAAAAAAGGGTGTAGTTAGCCAACGAAGGGGCCTTGTTTCATAGACTGTGCGCTACATCTGTAATCAGTATATCAGATAAGCTCTTTACCCAAAGTTCTGAGTGAATTCGAATTGTTTGAATTTTGTCGCTTGAAAACAACTTCTGTTTCAAAGATAGGAACAAGGACTCAGTTTCTAGCAGTACCCAAAAGTATCTGTTGTACAAGTACACATCATTACTGAAACTACTGTTTTTCGCTTTGAAATAGGAACTGAGAAAAGTTGCGACGTCGCACGCGTCGTTCGCGTTGGCGGCGTCGCGTTATGGAGCAAAGCTACGCCGCATTTGCCTGTGGTAATCCTGAGGCCCTTTGCGTTGCATCGCTTCTAATTGCAGTCACAGAGGAGCTAGCGCTACCGAGCGGATTGAGCCATTCTCCTCGTCATCCACAGATAAAGAGATCAAAATGTGAATGATAAGCGCATTTCAAGAGCGAATCAAATATACAATATGAGGAAGAAGTGTCTGCAAAGCAAGCCAAGAGAAAGTAGAAGATGAAGAAGTTCATTTCTTGGAAAGTCATTGACGGAAAAATTCTATCCTTTTTCTCTACTAATTCTCTTGTTCCACTTCTCTTGGCACTATTAACTCGAATCCAGCATCAGATTATCCCATATTCAGCCTTTCTCATCCCTAGAATTCGTCCATTTTTTAGATTCTCTAAATTGCAGTCTTCTTTGTTCTTTATTGCATTTATACAGTTTGAACATATCAGGTCGTAGTAATAGTCGTATGGGTCGTAGTAATTGTGCCAGCGCTTAAACGGGCTAGAGTGAGAATTGGCAACTGGGAATAGTGTTCGTTAGGTACCCATTGCTAGAACGTGTACAGGCTGTCTCATTGTGAGTTAAAGCTTCAGTGGTTCGAGCTGTCGCGGCCTCCTCGCTCAGGTGAGCCGCGTCCGCGAACTCATCTTGAGGGCATGTTCCCACGTTGGCGGAGATTGAAGGTTAATGGGCTGAGAAGATGTTCACAGTTTACGTTCGCGAACGCGGCGCAAAGCTGAGCGGGGCGGCTGGCTGCGCGAACCCAAGTCAAAGCTTTGACACTCATGTTGAGACAGCCTGTAAGTTGCATGTTTTGGCGCACCCTGCTAACTGAGTTGCGAAATTTTCGTACCTCGAGTTGCAAAGCCACCACGTTAAAATTTACCGTGAGATATTTGAGGGGGGGGGGGGCTTTTGCATCCGCAAGCTACCACGGCAGATCTTTGTAGTGGAATAGGTCGTCGCTTTTTGGGTGGCGTCCATACTTGTTCGTCTGGCTAGAAAGCGCCTAAAAGCTATTTCAAGACGACGGTCGCCCACTTAAGCAAGGCATGCGCGGGCTGCGAGCTTCAGTGGTGAGAAATGCTCGAACACTGTCGCAGCCGCGTCACACATTGAAGCGACCACCTCTGGTTGAGAATTTCTTGTAGATCATCCTGCTAAAAGCTAGAAAATCACCAGTTTCGGTGAAGCTTCTGTTTGTTTCATAGGTCACCCTTACACACTCATAAGTTTTTAACCCTTAAGAATTTTGCATTTTTCCATCAAGTTTAGATTTTATTGCTGCGGTTTGATGATTTTTCTTTAATACTCGGCCAAAGGTCATAGTTCCTTAATACGAGTTAGAAAACACTTTTTTCCAGCATTTCATAGTATTCACGTTCATCTGGTTCCTTATAAAGCTTACTGAATGAACTGGTCTTCGAAAATTCAAGCGGTTTATTCCACCGAAGTTTTCTCCAAGGGGGCGAGAACTTTGCAAGATGCGAAACACATCTGGAAGGCTAGCCGCCTCATCTTTCATATGCAAACACATTATATCTTTGCTATGGTTTTTTTTTTCAAAGGAAAAGTTATGCGACATATAACAAGAACATTTGGTGGTCTATTACAATCAGGTGTTATGACTACAATGTCATTTTTTAAATACCCTGCAATAACGGCATTTGAGGAAGCTTTTGACAGAGAAAAGCAGGCCCTGCGTAGTGACCCATGATTATCGAATATGGTATACAATCCTTACAAGGAAAATAAAAGAGCATCTAGTTCGGAAGAGAAAAAGGTCGACGCAAAAAGTGGCCTATTTTTGCAGGATTATCTCAGGTCTGATGAGAGCTGGAGAGCTTAGGTGCTGCAGTTATATGGAAGTCCGTTGGGGCTATTATGGAAACTATTTAAGTCTTTGAGCGACCACCTGCAAAAAAAGTTTTCCCAGAAAATTGAAAAATCGACCATTTTTTGCCGCCAAAAATGCACCATTTTTCGAGTAAGTTGCTTTGAAGTCTTCTCGTTCCGCACAGGCTGGACCAAATCATTGATTACTGTGAAAATTGTTGGAGTAATGCCTTGCACATTTTTTGGACCCATCACCAGGCGCGGTGATCCCCGCAGAAGCGACGCAGCTGCGAAAAGAGTTGCAGTCAGAGGCAAGTTCGAAAGCTCGTAATTTCTGAGCACAAATGGCAAAACTCGAATGCAGCTCCGGGTCAGAAGTTAACAGGCTTCTCGATCAAATTACCCATGATTTGGACGAAATTCCTTGAATTGCACAAAAAAATGGCCATGGGAAGAAAAATTGTGAAATTTTTGTGGTTGGAAAGATTTCTCTTCTTGGCGTGCAGATCAGGCACGTCTTGGCATCGATAAAAGTCAGAAGGCCTGTTGAGAACTTTAGGTTTCCCTCTACTGAACAGTATAAAAAACTTGGTGTCAATGTCCGATCGAGCGCCGAAAAAATGCATTTGTTGAAATTCCCAAAAGTGCCCGGGAATTTCTTTACAACCTAATATTATTAATTATACCATAAAAGACGCATCTTATTAAATTCGCGCCTAGCATACTTACTAGAGAATTCTACCTGGCGGCAAGGTTTCAGATTATATGCTCATTCACTCGTTATGTTGTAATGAAGTCTTGGTGGTTGCCTGTTTTTATTTTTCACACAAAACCATCCACCACAAAACCTGGTTGGTAGAAGAAAAAATAATAATACAACAAAAACAAAACAACGACATTTTAGATCTGTTAGAGCTTTAATCGATTCCCTATTTAATACGGTCTTCTAAATATGGACATTGCAGGATTTACTAACGTTGTAGCAAGTTGGGAGCAATCCGCTCCCGATAAATACGATGTGTTGAAGCGGCTTCCTCTTAGGCGAATTTTGCTGGAAACAGACTCACCTTATTTTCGACCGCGACAGGTATGTCTATTTCATCATTTACAAGCAAGTTGCCTTTGTTTGAGCCCCCAGAGCGCCTTATTTGACTCGGGGTCGACTCGAGCCCTATGTGCGGTTGTAGGGAAATCTCTGAGAAACGAGTGCTTGGGGAGGGGGCGGTGGAAGTTTTGTAAGTATATATTGGGTTGTCCCGAAAGTTTTGTCCGTTTTTTCAAACCACTATAAAACATACACAATAAACAACTGAATGAGTTTCAACTTGCATCCGATGTAGCTTTTCCTTCCCTTTCTTATGGAGACATTTTCGAACCATAGTCTTGTTTGCTTTTTGATAATTGGCAAAATTCTTCACCAGTCGATTTTATCTGCTCAAATTCAGGCTGATTTTTGAAAATTCCATTCCAAAGTTTCCGAAAGAGTTAAGTATAGGTCAAATAGAGCAGTTCTCATATCAAATGTATCATTTTTAGATTCTCCTAATCTGCTGTTTTTAGTTTCAAGAAATTATTTTCTCAGTCTCGATTTTTGGCAAAGTATGAAACACGCAAATGCAGCAAATACATGAAAGCTTTTGAAATTTCTGCTAGTTTATGATTCTTATCAAAGATTATCTATGAAGCATAACCAAGTTAAATTTGCTTTAAAAAAACAGCTTTTTGGAATTTTCGATACTTTTACGTGGTAAATGTAATTAAAAAACCGTGAATTTTGTTGAACAAATAATTTTAACGGACTTGATAAACGTGGCCCATGTAATCTAAAGTGGGTGTAATGTAGTCAAAGTTTGTTCTACATAACGGTTAACAGTGCTTTTTGAAAACATCATAAAAATTTCAAAAATTCAGGAAAAATTTGGCGTTACTTGAGCTGCACAAAAAGCCATGACGATAACATTGCAAAGATAGGGTAGATCAGAGAGCAAAGGTGGTAGGTAGTATAGGTAGTTAGGTGTAAGAAAAAGGATAAAAATCTGAGTCAAGAGGTACTAAGTCGTCCATGAAGTTCTGTAAGTTTTAGGGAGCGATGACAAAATGGTCAAAACTTTCGGGACAACCTAATATGGTATCGCAGCATCTGATTAATCATCTAATCCATATTGATTCAAAGCTTGGACAACTTTAGGCAGAGGATTTGGTCACATTTCATAGTAATTGTTTATAATTTCGACGGCATACTCTTTGGCCCCATTTGACCATTTTCAGCTGTTGATGTGCTTAATTTACAGGTTGTAGACCTTTTTAAATTCATACTCTGTTTTTCAGTACAGCCCGTCCATGACGAATGATTGCGACAAATTTGCGCTGCCACCGATGGGTACGTAAACTACGTTAATTTTTTGATAGCTTTTGATTTTATACGAAATTCCTATAAAACTCAATTAAGAAAGTTAGGCAACGATCCCAGTTGAGATTGTCAAAACCATCTGAGTTTTTCTGTATCGTACTTTTCTTAATGCTGCAAAATATTTTTATAGTTGTAGTACTACTTTTTTGGCTCAAATCAGAAAGTCCAGCCTTCACAGCCTCCTGTAGTTTTTCTCTACTAGTAAGACATCGAAGCGCTTCCGTTTTTAGACAATGATGTTCATTACTGTAGACTCAAACCTTATTATGTGTAGACTTGACGTAAAAAAGCAATTTTCGCTCTTTAATAACGATTTTGTATTCATGTGTAGATTATTAATGTCAAAATTTCCAGCTGTAAATGTTGCTTTCATTATCGCAAAAGCTAAAAACATGGATGTTAATGATGTCATTCGGGAAACATCACTCAATGTGAAGCAGATGTATTGCATCAAGACGAAGTTACCTATTGATGAACAATGCTAGTGATTGTTTGTAAATAAGTATTAGCTCCTTTGGTGTCAAATTTAGCTTTGATACATGCGTCAGGTTTTTGCCTTTCCTCTGTTGCATTCCTTAGTCGAATTTTCGTCTCTTTGTCTGTTTAATTGCACTATATTTCTTCATTATTTGACATACTTATAAAAGCAATTATAGCTCACAGTATCACAACTTAGGCAAGCATATTGTAAAATATTCTCATTGACTTGGTTCCTTTGAAAACGTTGTTTTTTGGATGAGCACAATCAGCTGTTAATTTCATAAAATGGTTCATCGTTGTTAATGTCTTCATAACCATTTTTTATTGTTATAAACATGCATTTTTTCGACGAGCGCCAGATGTTTGAGTACACAGTAAACAAACTGTAATATGCAGTGTGGTCGTTCGATTTTTACATAGATTGAAAAAAAAATTGTTCCGGATACTTATCGTTAGTATGTACGCATATGTAGTGTTTATGTCAGGTTGTATTTGCTCAGCGATTTTTTACACGTTCATTTATGATCACGTTTTCCTAGCCTTGGTAAATGTGGGAGTTTGATTTTACATATTAAAGGAATCATGCATAAAAAATGTGTCTTCCCTACAAATACACTGGTATGGCCTTACCGTCTTCGCGCTGACACAAGTTTGATAAAACAATTCGTAATGGCACACCACGTTTTGCCTAACGCATACAGCGAAGCTGTCTACTGCAGGATGAATGTGACCGCATGTACCCATTATTTTTTGTCATCAAAAAAAATTGGAGCTGGATCCCACACATATACAGAAAAGAGCCTCTGTGCCAGTACACGAATTCAGTTATACGAATTGCTAATCGTCGAATCGTATGAATAGCTCATTTTCTCACAGGGTGAAACTATTCCACTGACAAACAGCAAGTCGCTTTCATTGCTGGATGTTTGATTTTTGGGATCAGCTGGAACCCGTTAGTGGGTGAAAAATCCGCGATTATTTAGAACTTCAATATCCTCCGGTCAACAATGACATCGGCAGGAAAAGGTGTGCTATCAGTCCCTTCCTATCCCACTTACCCTTATCCCCTAGAATCGACTGCTGGTCAAAGGTTGTTACACACATTTGTCGCAATCCACTAACTATTTTGACCCGCATGCCCCAAGTTCGCAACCTTTTCCGACCTTTATGACCAACAACTATGCGTCATGCCTTGTGTGATTCATGTGAGAAACGAAGAACATATGAAGAACCATAGCTCTGAAACAAATAAGAGGAAGCCGAATGTTTTGAGAATATCCGATCCCATGCACTACGGCACCCATGCGACCGCCCACTTGTGGCTCCACCCACGTTTTTACGGGCACGTTCCACGACCGACGGGGTTGGATTAGTTTCCCATATCACTCATCACTAAACACAGCTACAATGTTACGGTCAATATCAAGGATGCTGTTTTTATTGGCTATAATGACCAGCTATGCTAGTCCATGGTGGTGAGTTTAATTACCCCTCTTTAAAGTTTTGAAGAAAAGTGAAGCGACCGTTATGCCGACTGATTTCTTAGGAATTAAAATTCTGAGTTTCTTCTCCAGCGTTGTTTCTATGCTACATGTTTTTTATTGCTTCTGTAACAGAAATTTTTGTGACAATCCAGCAAAGAAGAGCTTTGAATGGTTCAAGTTTTGAATCGAACTTTGTTCTTTCTCAGCATCCAAATTTGGCAAAATATAAAAATTACTCTCGTAAAGATAGTGTTATTTTCAATAGCCTTCAAATTATACTAAGAGGGGTCTGCTTACTATTGACCTAGCCCAAAGTCGCAATAATTTTTACAATTCAATTTTTGAGCTCCTGCTCTTTTTTGTTTAAGGGATCTTGCTGTATTCATCTCCACAGTGTCCTCAAGCTTCACTTTTCTTGTAGTGGAATTGGTTTGATCACATATTAGCGTTCAATCTGATCTTACATAGATCGATGATTGTCCTCAACTTTTAGCACGATCATCTTCTCGTACAAAGACACTAAAAATAAAGGTTTCGAACTCATTTTAGAAGATTCTTACTAGTCCAAAATATTTCCCCTGGCGCTTTGATTCTGTAAAATTTTTCATGCGATTATGTTGAACAAATATCCTCTCTACATCCATGCACATGTAGTTCTCCTCTTCCAACTATCTTAAGATTTAAACAAGCAGTCCTTTCCTTCAGGAAATCTGGTACATTATTCTTTTCTTTTAACATTGCTCATTTTTTCATCATAGTTCCCTGGGGGAAAATTCTGGACGACACAATCCTTCCTTTATACTACTCTACTAACTTACTCAACCAGTGCGCTACAGCATATATTTCTCTATACTGACCATATCCTGTTGTTCTCATCATTCGTACGACGATGCTGAGAAAAGAAGCCGTCACGTCGGCATTCATTGAATAGCAACTTAATGTGGCGTGAACATCATACGGAAATGTCTAGAGACTGGTTTCGATCATAGATTTTTAGAGGAGTTATGGGTCTTTGTTTGGACAATCCCATGCTTTATAGGGTAAGCAACCGATAATCCGCCATTTGGGCCCTATAGTGATGTAACACTGATGGATACTAGCTGTTGGGAGTGTGGTGGTTGAGAAGAATGGTTATTTTAGAAGTGAAGGAATTGCAAATTCTCCATATTTTTTTGACTGTAGTTCCGCTGAAGTGAGACTTCCGTAGAATATCTTTGGGCAACGTTAGTGGCATTTATTTTTTTTACTACTCAGAAAGTTTGTATTCAATTTTCTTTCTTCACCGTTACTGATGGTGGCCAGTGATGAAGGTGCGCTTCCATCTCTTAGGCTCTGAATATCTTTTTCACTGTATCAAATTATCTACACTAGCATATTGATCCCAAATGAATGGAAAGCTTATCGATACATGGTTATTAATTCAGCTCATTAAAGCACTTTCCAATTCCACAGAGACCATTATTGGAAAATGATTCACTTTTGATTCGTGGTGAGAATTATAATAAGTGTCAATGGTGCAGCGAAAGCATTCATTATAGGTCCTGCTTTTCTATTACGATAAATTCAAAAGTGTTTTCAAAATGATTAGCTTGTAACCGTGTGCTATATAGAGCTTGGATAATGATTCTTTCAAAAGAAGTTTGCTATCAGTCAACTTTTTCCTGACTTGCATGCCAAAACTTCATCAAAAACTAGATCAAGAAAGTTTTCGGATAGTTCAATTTATTGCCCATTGATGCGTCACTTTTTCAAAATTCCATCAATGCTCTGGTGACTTTTTCTTTTTTCTTAAGGTCTGCGCTTTTTGCTTTTTCACCTCAAACAAGTTTCGATCAATGAAAGAAGCAACTGTAGATTACTACCGGATGTATGTTCGTAACAAAATCAGTACAAAAATAAATCTCACGAAACAAAGATTTCAAATATATTTCCTTACCTCACAAGCGGCAAATCGTATAAGAATTACCCCATGATCGGAAGCACCCTATTGCATGATCGGAAGCACCTATTGTGACGCAATTTTATTATGTTTGCGGCTGTGCTACGAATTTGGGAGGGTCAATTCAAGCTAAAGGCTTACCGCTCATGACGTCACAGGATTAGTAAAGAAGTTTCGGTGGTGCTTCTCTAGGATTTGTTTTTGGGCCACTGAGCTGAGAACTGCTCTGGTTGGATGTGGTAGAAGAACTTATAGAATTTCAAAATGTGAACTTATAGAATTTCATTATCTGTGAGGTTCTCTAAGCATTTTTTGACTTTCTAACAAGGAAAGGAAAGTTAGTCGAAATGGTGTTATACTATGAGACGAAAACTGTATGAAAGGGTAAGAAGGCTGATTCCGAATCTTCCCTTTCCTTATTGTTAGTTGGAGCGAGACTTATTAAAGTTTTTATGAGCAAAAATTTGAATGTGCGGCTAAGATAGAATCAGCCGGAACATTTTTTCCCAGGGTTTGAATGATTGTCGATCAATTTGTGGAATAAATATTTTCAATCTAAACCTATCCACTTAGCGTTGCCTCCTTTTTACGCTGGGAAAGTTAACAATCGATTTTACACAAATCATGCATTTGAATTTTTGTACAAAACCTTCATAACTCTTGCTCAAGAACCCGCAGCAGATTGAAAAAGATTTGGAATTGGTGTTGTATACGTTTCAAGACAATCTACTTCGTACACTGAAAGGCAACTTCGACTAAACTTTCTTTTCTTTTAAGTATGCTGTTCAAAAACACTGGTGCGCACCTCCATTTGCCCATTTCTTCACCTTCTGGCTACATAGATCAGTTTATGATCGTATACCTCCTGATAGCCTAATGCTAGCTATCAGCCGCTTCCCCAGCGTGTTTACGAGGTGATTCCAGTCTCGTGAAAGCACTAAAATCCAGTGCGCCTGTCGAACCAAAGGCTACGTCCTCGGCATCGGTAGCAGCACCGCTACCGTGTGCCGAGGCGTCGGCGAAGGCGTACGCGAAGGCGCAAGCGATTTTATGCGCTGCGCACGTCGCCGCTGCGGTGGCGGCATTTTTGGCAAAGCCAACGGCGGCATGACCCGTTCCTCTCTTTATGACCGTTTTACAGCCCACACACACACGTACGATCGCCGGATACAAGCGGATACCGTCGATGGCTGGCTGTTTAGGCGCTTGATTCATATGCAGATCGGCTCGGATTTATTGGTTGCCGTTAGGAAAATACTAATTGTGCCATTAGGATCGCATCGGCATGACTTTGACACGTTACGAGCTTGCGATAATGAATGATCAATGCAACATTAGTGTAGAATGTATGTGATTCACCGTGGTTCTTTATTCATATGAAGCAGAAGGGATCTTAGAGTGTTTATCTAGGTATCACTGCTGTTGATGTCATTATTATGCCATTCGAATATGGCTGTTATTGGATAAAACAAAACTCTAATTTAGAGAGGGAAATTTGGAATGGTGAAGGTTTATTAGTGTAAACTTTCAGTAAATCTCCTCCGGTCGTACTCGGGTTAATTCTGTCCAGTTTTGCTCTTTGGATTATGAGTATTGTATTGCGGACCATTAATAAAGTGGAAACCAAATTGGAGAGGTTAAGAATTTTACAAGAATAGTTATAGAAAAATGACGTGAAAACGACATTTTGCCTGTTAATTTTTTTGAAGTTAGTTTTCATAAGAATGAAATAAAATAAATTCATACATTATCTCCCATAAAATTCTCGGAAAAAAAGCTTCACATAATGATGCTCGAAGATCTCGTTTTTAGGTTGCTCTCCGAGACTGATCCTGAACGTATCGCCTCTTATCCCTCGGCATGCTCCGTAGTTCCTGGTCTAAGCGAAGGACAACGAAATTTATGTTCGAGACACCCAGATACAATGAAGTATTTGGTGAGTTTCGATTATGTCAAAATTTGTCGTTGATGACGGTGAACCGTATCGGATCAGTATATATTCAGCTTTGTAGTTTAGACAAATCAATAGGAGAGTAGGTAAGATCTGCAAGAAACTACATACAAGTAACTTTTGTGTAATTTTATCATAAGAGGGAAACTTTCCAAGTTCAAAAAATTTCTAGTTATGTCTTCAGATTGATGGCCTGCGAATGGCAATCTCAGAATGCCAGCACGCATTCCGTAATCAAGTATGGAACTGTACACTCACTACACCTGGGGTTGAGGCGACACCGCTGAAGAGTAAGTTATTTGTGAATTCTTTGCTCAAGCCATCACCCAGAGTTTATCAGGACAGTCTTATTTCAGTTGCTTCGAAAGAATCCGCTTATGTCTATGCAATCGCTTCGGCTGGTGTGAGTCATTCATTGGCGAAGGCTTGTGCAAAAGTGAGTATTTCGTAAAGGAATGTAAAGTTCATACTAATTAAAGAATCAGATTTCGTGCCTAATTTGTGAGAGCACTTCATGATCACGAATACTATGAATAGGAATGAAATTGCGAAATTGTGAGACAGACTTTGCAACCAAAGTTCCTCAAGTTGGATTATAGCCCAAAAATGGGATGAAGTAAAAAGGGATTTTGTGAATTTATTTTGTAAATTTACTGCAATGGACACTGAGAATTGTAACAGGATGATGCAGATAAAAATTACTTCTTTTCTCGCTCCTTTTTGTGAGAATGTGTAATACTTGTAAAAATAGTTCTGTGGTTGGTTGAATAACAAAATTCTGCTGCAATAAAAATCGACTAATTTTCTAGGGTCTTATTGAAGACTGCGGTTGTGGCCCAACACCATCAACGGTATCAAATACTTTTGTATGGGCTGGTTGCTCTGACAATGTACGTTATGGCAACTCATTTGGACGAAAATTCATCGATGTCAATGACAAGGCTCAGGGTGATGCCAGGTCTGCTTTCATTAGCTCTACAACAGTACTATAAGTAAAATATTTATTCAGTTTGGTTTATAGAGCCCTGATGAACCTTCATAACAACCGAGTTGGTCGTCGTCTTCTGGCCACCCGTATGGGAAAAGAGTGCAAATGCCATGGAGTTAGCGGCAGTTGTGTTACTAAAACTTGCTGGAAAGTTGTGCCGAAGTACGTTTTGCAAATTTTGGAACTGGCCTAAGAAATCATGTTATCAGACATATCCTTTTCAGATTTGATGACTTTGCTCAGCTTCTAAAGTACAAATATGAAATGGCTCAACAAGTTACCGTAGCACCTCACGGAACTGCACTGATGATTCGAGAACCGATCTCGGATAGCAAACGAAGTGGAAGGTATTTGAAAGACAAGAGCGACAAGCACAAGGTAAATCAATTGATCCTTGTTCGTTGGCCCAAAACTGTTGAGTTTCTATCCTCACTCACCAAAATTAACCATTTTAGGCAGCAAAAGGAGATCTCGTATATTTGGATGCTTCGCCAGATTACTGCTCAGTGAACACTAGGGGTCGGGACTGTGGAAATAATTGCGATGAAATCTGTTGTGGCAGAGGTTTGTAAATATTCATTTTGAATTCCATCGATGAAGACGAATTCACTCGAATGTGAATGAAACAGAAAAACTCAACAAAAATACTTGTTGTGAAAATGCGTCATAGAGAAGAACTCGCAAAAAAAAAGATCTTCGAAATCATAAACCGTTGATTATGAAACTTTTTTGAGAGGAATCCGCTACGATGTCTTCCAAACCCCTGTAGTAACGTATTTGGGAACCAAATTGAGATTAGCAAAAATTGTTATTCATTTATTTTCTACGGCTGCAATAAAACATAAACATCCCAGAGTAAGTCGGAATGAACAAAGGATAACACCAAAAAGGGCGATAGAAAAAAGAAAAAAGTTGCAAATTGCAAACAATTTCAAATTTGAATGAAATTCAAAAATTACATTTCTTTTAGGCTGGCATACTGTTCGAGAAATTGTCGACGAGCCTTGTCATTGTCGTTTCATTTGGTGCTGCGATGTACAATGTAAAACTTGCAAAAAAATAGTCGACCGTAATTTTTGTCGTTAGTTGGCTTGAAGTCTTCTATCACTCCCTACGCATCCATTTTTATGCCTTTCATGACACTCATGTATTGCCACATCCATATGCTGGTCATTTCTTTTCTTTCCAGTCGCTAGTATAACTTGCACTTCTCACCAATTTTTCTACATTTTAACGCCGGATTTCTATTTAGAATATATATCTTAAGTAGATTTTTGAATGTGCATGATGATATGCCTTTCCCAATCACTCAAATTTTTCAACATCACGATCTGATCAGGAATCTCAGTTACTTTTCCTACTTCTCATAGGGAACGCTTTAGGTTTGTACATATTAATATTGATTATTGAATGCTTCTAATAATAAAAGATATCAGTCGTAGCGCTTTGAGAGAGAGATTTATACAATTGGAGGCAGTAAAACCAGGCAGACTGGTTCACCCACACCCATACAGCGCAGTAATTACAGGAACCTCAATCAACTCAATGGAAGAAACGAAGGCGTAAGCATTCAAAATGTTATCAGTGTTTTCAGTATATTGAGGAAATGGTAAAGGCTACTGGACGAAGGCGCAGCAGTATTAGTGGAGCGGACGCGAAGGCGGCGCGCGCGTATCTTCACCGCGGTGAATCTTGCGCTTCCTGCGCTCTGTGGCTAGCAAAGCCGCGTTCGCACCCAAAGGTATTGCACCTTCGTTGTGCCATCCTATAGACTGGTTAGGCGCAAGATTTACTTGAATAGTTAAATTCAGTTCCAAAAGTAGTCCTCGACAGAAAGGTAAGCCAAGATTACGGGGACATAAGAAAGACTGTGATGTTGAGTGAGATTTTTGCTTTTCCTGACTGTAGCGGCCGTAAGAAATATAATAAGAGCAGCAAAAAAGCATCACACTAAACACTTTTTGATTTTTCAAACGTAGAGCTGAGTGATTAAGGTGCACATCTTTCAAAACGATTATTTTTGACTATATATGTCGCTGAAGGAAGACTAGGGGTGATTGTTGCTGAAACGAAACTTTCACAAGTTTAGAAGTGAAAGAAAGGGTAGTGAAAAAGTGTGTCAAATACTATTTTTTTTTCTCTGAAAGCAGTTTTTGAAGTACCCTAAATGCCATATGAGTCCAACAGATAAATTCGCCCAGATGAATGCGCTTGCAAATAAGACCCATAATAAAATGAAACAGACTTATCTGTAAACGGACTAATCTGTTGGTGAGATGTTCTTCCTGGAAAAATGTTGAAAATTTGTTTTTGGAAAAAGAGCGGACTTGTGAATTTAGAGTAGACACAGTGATAGAAAGAAAAGCAAGTTATTCTGCGAACCCAAAACGACACATTCGTGACTATTACAATGTATGCTTGTCCCCGACATATGCTTTAGAATAAGTTGTAGTACCATCCTTCTCAATCTATAACATGTCTTTTGAAAATACTTGCTGGGACCTCGGTCTTACGATAGTCACTTTTATATTTAAAAACAAATATTTCATCAGGTCCGAGAGAAGAATGTCGGTAATTCATGATGTGAAATGAATATAATCCATTGTTGACTGGATCATTAGACATTGCGATTCTGAGTCCATTGCACACTGTTCTTGTTTCGAATTCCTCCAGTGCTTCTTCTTCGTTCATTTCTTTCCAGCGGATCGCTATTCTGCAAATTTGATCAGTTCTCGAGCTGGTGTAAAGATTGCTGATTGTACGATTTGCCTTTGCTATTATAAACCAAGCTTTGAGTATTTACATGTTATGTATGCTTAGCACATCCAAAACTTTGAGTAGAATAAGAATCAAAATCCCACCAGATCAGTAGTAGATGCAATTTGACGCATGTAGTCGTCCTGGATATCATCGGCAGCGTCTGAGCTCACATTCTGCCTGGTTGTGTTCAATTCCTTAAGCTTCTTGTCCAGCAATCCACTGAACAGTGCGTAGAGACTATCCACATTCTCGCCATTGGCCAAAAACTGAATGAAAAATATTTTTGCAAAACTTCAAAGACTTCAAATAATAATTCTATGAAACTTGCAATATTTTGATTCAAACCATGCTGCTAAGATATTAGGATATCCCTGAGAGGCGCTTGAAATGAACCCACTCACCTGTTCCAAGTGTCTAGCCTGAGGTGGTGTTGACAAGCTTTCCGCTTGTAGAATCTCCTTAGATTTCGATGGCAGTGCACTTTCTTGATCGCTAAAATTAGAGGTTGGATTGTCGTGTTACTGGATATACGAAAGAAAATCTTGATGCTTTCAGTTTGCTGCATAAGTGGGAGCAGCAATTTTAACACTTTCGCAGCAGTTTACCACAAATTGTTTATTCAAGGTCCATCATCGCAAGGCCGAAGAAATCGAAAAAATCATATCTCTGTACAAAAAAATTCTGGAAATATCTAACTTGCTTGCAACTCTCTACACCAAACACTCGTATGCATAGTTTCGTGGTTTCCCCATGGCTAAGAATCGACGAAGACATAATTTTGCCAAAACAATCCTGAGTTCCAGAGATTCTGCAGTATAAACCTTTGGAAATATATAATTGAAGTATTAACTTTTTCCAAGGTTTAGTATTTGAGAAAAATCAAATCTTTAGCAAATAAACCGAAAAACGCGACTTATTTTTTCACTTATTATTTCTCGCTTTCTAGCGATGGAAAATTCCCACAAACTGTATACTTGAATGTCTGATGCAAAGAGTACATGCCTGTGCAAACTGAAGATCCCTAAGACATTCATGGGCGCAAATTTTTCGGGTATCTGAAATTTTTTATATTTTGGATTGGAAAGGTGGAATGATGTTTCCGCGATGCTTTCCACTCCAACTTGTAAACTTGCTTCGCTCTATCAAATAATACTCCATCACCGTTTTTCGTGATCACTCTATCTTGGTAGGTTGCAATGCGACACTAATTCTCGGTCAGCCTAATGTTATAATCATCCCTAGTAGTGCCTTTTGAGATTTGGCTATAAACTTTACGCAAATCAGACTGGTGCGGATGTTTCAGTTTTGTTCTGTGGAGCTTGCTTTGTTCTATCGGTTGGTACCTAAATATCTATGTCTTAATAATAACGGGCTAAGGGTTGTTTACGTCTGTTTGTCTGTGTGTCTGTGTGTACGTCTGTCTGTCACGAAATTCATACAGCGAGTTGCAGCAAATGTCTTGAGCTGAAGTTTTGGTCATAGCACCTTGCCAGCATCTAGGCCCATCATGCAAAATTTCGTATGGATCCGTTGCGTTGATGTTACAAAAATTGTGCGTCAAGCGGATCCACACGGCTCTAAGCAGGCACTGAGTCCAGATTTGAATTTTTTGCAAAGCCATGCTTTGCCTGACAAGTAAATCTGCGCCTCATGAATTCTAACCCAAAAAGGGCTCAAAAAGTTTGCTTTTCTGCGAAAGCAGCGCCAAAAAGTGGTGATCGCGTAGATAGTCGATTTGGCAAGGCTGTAACTTCAAATTTGAAAAGATTTTTGCACGAAAATGTAGCCCAAAGTGACTACTATCCTTATGACGACTACCAAGCCAAAATAAATTCGATACTTCATTCGAATTCGCAGGTTTTCCTTTGCGAAAAAGATTTCTTTCTCAAAATTACCGATATTGCGTCGAGATGCGTTAAGAATGAGCAGTTGTTTACAATTCATTTGCGATGTTCAGCATCGCGCGGTAAGTTTCAAGTCATCATTATGCGAACATGAGAAAGGCATACGGATAGGAGTGCCAGTGCGAACCTCCGCGAAGCGGAGGTGATGCACTGGTAACTTATAATAACGGGCTAAGGATGTTTACGTGACTTTGTGTGCCTGTGTGTGTTGTGTGTGTGTCTGTTACGAAATTCGTAGAGAGTGTTCCAGCCAACCTCTTGGGCTCAAATGTTGCATAGCGCATGCTATCCGCATGAAAGTCCAACATGCAAAAGCACGAGCAGATTCGTTGAGTGGATCCTTCAGAAACTGCGCGTCAAACGGATCCACTTTGCATTTGGGCCGCATGATTGGGTCCGTAATTCCACTTTTTGCAAAGTAGTGGATGTTTATGCCAAGTAAAAGTGCAAATCATGAACTTAGAATCAAAAAGGTTTTCAAAAGTCCATTACTTTAAAAAAACGGCGCCAAAAAGTATTGATTGCGTAAATGGTCAATTTGCCAAAGTTTTAACAGACCATTTGACAAGATTTTTGCACAAAGATGTAGCTCACGGTGACTGCTATTCTTACTGCAACTGTCAAGACCATGGGAAAATGAAAAACGTTTAGAAATTTGTGTTTTTTCTCCTGCAAAAAGTCTCATCTACACGAAATCACCGATTTCACATAAAAAAGCTTTCGAAATGAGTAGTTGTTTACATTTTGTTCGTGATAGTCAGCATTGCTCGGTGAGTTCCAATGCCATCATTATGCGAGAATGAGTGGGGCCTAGATAGTAGAGCCAGTGCGAGCCTCTGCGAAGCAGAGGTGACGCTTTGGTATACACCAAGCTGGTACCACTACGTTAATAACTGTTTATTGGATAGTAGCGGAGCAGCCGCTGACTATCAACAGTGAATATGCGGAACAGCCGCTGACGATAGTGGTAATATTCGAACCAACGCCAGAACTGAGTATTCAGGCCCTTTTATGCCACTGTTTTGGGCGTGGATAACCTGAATGCTCACTTCTGGTAAACAATAGTATCATAGAGCATGAAGGATTGCCTACATGGATGCCTAAGGATGCCATGCCTAAGGATTGCCTCTGCTTCACTGAGTTTCCCTTATTAACTGGATGATTGTAGGAGGCGCTGGTGATTGCGGTGTTCTGCGAATACTCCTCCGTTTTGATTCCGTACATACGACTGCTTCCGGAGATTGCATGGCCGAAAACAGTAGGGGTGAGAATAAGCCCAGACGGAAGAATTGTACATGGTCGATCCCTCAGGATGAATTGATCGAACAGATCTTGACCAATGAGAATGTCCGGTGTGATCCATCGCGTCTTCAGATCCGGTTGTGCTACTCGAATCTTCCTTTTTCGAATCAACCTTCTATCCTCTGCGCTTAGCCAAGCTGTGCTCATCGCGGAAGTGAGTGTTGACTTTGTGTGTATCTTCACCGCTTTGATAGCGACTCCAGCAGACGTTGTTCTCAGTGTAAGCGGGACTTCACAGGATGTGAAATGTGCGGTAGATCCTACGAAGCCGCCAATCCTGAAAGTGGTGTTTTGCAGCACTGGTAAGCCAAGAGCTTGGGTCTTCTTTGTATTGATGAAGCTCTTTTGTGCACCTCCATCAAAGAAAACAGTCATGGGCTTATAGCTGGTCGATGTGTAGTCGTATGCGAGTGCAGTCGCCGTCATCAGTACGTGCTGCATTCCTCCTTCTCGCTTCGTGCTCTTGTTGTGGAGAATTTCAGAATTTTGCGCAAGTTCAGGGTTTCTCGGGAGATCTTGATCGCGAGCAGATCGTTGCTGTGATCGCCTGGTTGGGGTGCCTCTAGATGCCGAATAGCTACCCATGCATACGGCAGTGTGGTGGTTTTCGTGGCACTTGTAGCAGAACTGTGAGCTTGTGCAATCACTAATCCTGTGATCGGTTTGAAGACATCTGAAGCACAGCCTTTGTTTCCTGGCTTCATCACGTCGCTCTGCTGCTGTTTGGAATGTTGTGCATCTCATCGCATCATGTTGGTAACTTCCGCAGATGCATTGAGCAATCGAATCTCTCGAAGATCTATTTCCTTGACCGTGGTTCGAATTGTATGCGATTGAGTCTTCTTCATAGTTCAGTCTTTCATCGACTTCTTGATCGGAATTAGAGCGTGCCATAATTTTGCAGTCCTCGAATGCTTGGAATGTGTCCACTGAAAGGGCGATTGTTTCCTTGAGAGCTACCGCACTTTCCAGTACGTCTAGTATTTCCTCGGTAGAAAACGGTTTGTCTTCATTTTGCTCTTTGCTGAACACCTTTTCGCTCAGTGATGCTGGGAATTTTGAGAGTATCAAGCGTCTCCACATTCGTCCATTGTCCAAGGTGACTCCCGCACACTCAATGTGAGTGAGTTTCTCAGTCACATCGGTTAGCATTTTTCGGCAGCTACTGGCGTCTTCCTTTGCTCGCGGAAGTTTTTCGAGTTCTGTGATGAGAAGATCAGCTATGCATCCGGACTTGTTGTATAAGCTCCTGCAGGACGAAGGCGGTTGGTTCGATGTGCGACGTGGCTGTGACGCGACTGTGACGCGGCTGTGACTCAGCCGTGTCGCAGCCGCGTTGCACATCGAATCAACCGCCTTCGTCTTGCAGGAGCTTATATCTCTTGTCGAGGAGTTTTACAGCTTTGTCGTAATTTTTCCCTATCACAGGAATATTGCCAAGCATAGAAGCAGCAGATCCTTTTAGTGCTTGCCTCAAAAATAGGAACTTATCAGTGTCGGTAAGCTGTGCGTTGCTGTGTATAAGCGAAATTCGTCCAAAACGTCGGGTAGTCCTTGTAGCTTCCACTAAACTTTGGAACTTCAAGCACTGGTAATCGGACCCTGTTCTCAGTGTGTTGTCTTGTGGATAGACAACTATCCGTGTCCGTGTCCGGTACTGGTGATCGCATCGAGGACGATGCTAATGAGTGGATTACACTTGACTGTTTTTCTAATTCCCTCGTTCGATATTTCAACCTGTTGGTCCAGTTGATACCTTCAAGCTGTAGTCCGTTTGCTTCTGTGCTTAGGAAGGCAGCCAAATCGTTCATCAATCTATCTTTGTCTGACTGGTCCTTTTTTGCGCCAAGAAAATTCATGGCAATTTGCACTTGCGCCTCCAGGTTTTCCAGTAAACCTGTTAGGGTAATTTGCAGTTCATCAATCTCTGCTATTTTGTCCGCTATAAAGGCGTTGCATTCGGTTGCGGTGTTGGGAAACTCAAAAGCTTTATCAATATTGCGGACCTTGTCTTCAAGACCGCTGATTGATGAGCGAGCCATAGAAATGCGAGCTTTATATAGAGTTAGCTCAGCCATCGTCTGCCTTGTGCGCATGGACTTAAATCCTTTGCGCTCTCGTCGTCTGCGTGCTTTGGCACTGCAGGTGTTTGTTTGTAGTAGAGTTCTGGCTGGGTACTTAGTACTCGCAGCTGTCGAGAACTGTGGAGGTTGGCTGGGCCTGGACCTCTGTGGGATTTTTCCTTGCTGGGTGCAAGAAAACTAGTCACTAGTGAGCTTAGCAGTGGAGTGCGTAGCTTTTTCTAGTTACTTAGTAAGCGTGCCGTTAGCTTGAACGCTGTGCTGACTGGTAGGTTGGACCTTGCCCAGTATAGAATTGAGAAATCCTTGAAGTTCAACAGTTCTTGAATGAACTATGAGACTTCTGACCGCAAAAACTGTTCCGCTCTCTGGTTCCTTACGATAAGGACGCGCAAGAGAGTTTCACTAGAATTTGGGTGTTTTCACAAAAAATTTCTTCCCACTTCCCGGTTCCTTACGAAAAGGACGCGCTAGGAAAGTTTTCAGAAAATTCTGTGGTTAGCTACTGTTGATTGAAGCCTTTACGGCCCTCTGGTCTCTTACGAAAAGAGCGCGCAAGAGGGTTTTCAATTTGTCAAGTAGCTAAAGTACCGACTGTTTTCTTTACTACTCACTGGTCTCTTACGAAAAGAGCGCGCAAGTGGGGTTCAATATATAGTGATATATGATTCGCTGACTAATGCCTTTACTAGCCTCTGGTCTCTGACGAACAGAGCGCGCAAGAGGTTTTTAATGATTAGTAGCTAATTACCGGCTGTTTTTTTTACTACCCACTGGTCTCTTACGAAAAGAGCGCGCAAAGTGGGGTTCAATATTCAGTGGTAAACGATCACCAACTAACGCCTTTACTAGCCTCTGGTCTCTGACGAACAGAGCGCGCAAGAGGTTTTCGATTAATTAGTGGTAAATGATCCTGCCACGCGGGACTTTATCAGCTTCCTGGGTAGCAAACGCCAGAAAGTGATCCGTAGGCCGATGCACCAATTTGGTATACACCAAGCTGGTACCACTACGTTAATAACTGTTTATTGGATAGTAGCGGAGCAGCCGCTGACTATCAACAGTGAATATGCGGAACAGCCGCTGACGATAGTGGTAATATTCGAACCAACGCCAGAACTGAGTATTCAGGCCCTTTTATGCCACTGTTTTGGGCGTGGATAACCTGAATGCTCACTTCTGGTAAACAATAGTTTCATACAGCATGAAGGATTGCCTACATGAAAGTAGGCGCCGCCAAGTAGACTATCAAGCACAGCGGAGGGGTGACCTGGCGACTTAAGTGGTCAGTGAACAATAAGGTTTGTCAACGACAAGCTAACAGATATGCTAAATATAACATACACGGTAGATCTACTATGCTAAAGGTTGTAGATTATTTGGATAATCTACGACAGACGCACTGGTTGCACGATAAAATGCAAGCCGACATTATTTTTCGTACAACCCAATATTTCAATCGCTGCGCATCAGATTATTAGTATGCGGTTGTAAAAAATGAAAACTGTTAGAAGGTTCAATGACCCAAGTTGGAGTACTAATTGTAAGAAGCATCACGTACGGAAAACAACAGCCAAGTGGACATTTGCTAATTTCTCTAATCTGTAAGTGACTTTTTTAGATTTTTCTTCTTTTATTTTTTTTCTTTTTCATTTCCTTCACTAATAATGAGTTCCGAAAAGATCGTATACTTTGTCTAATTTCCGTATATTGAGTAGGAAAAAAACGGGTTCAGATATTTTATTTTATTTTTGGTTATATGTGAAAACCCATCGATTCTAACAATAACTCAGCTGAAAAAGTGCAAAATTTCCCACTCAAACACATTTTTGAGGATCAAAGTACGTTTGAAAGTATTTTCAAGCAAAAAAGCAGGTGAGCGCATTCTTTTGAAAGTGTAGCACACAGCTCAATTGAAGCAGATTTTTTACACTTTAAACTATGTATTTTGATTGACTTTGGAGGCAAAAAGGCTGAATAGTAATTTCCATGGATCTATAGTTTTGACCAAGATCCATGCTTCTTCCAATATTTTTGATTTTTTCGAGCGTATCAGAACGAGAACGGGACCGGCTCCGAAATGCTGTAGTAGACTGATTACACATAGCTGTACCAAATTTCAAAACAATTTCGACCGAGTGAGTTACGGCATTCTTTACAATGGATCTATAGGCAAGCACTGTATGATTGTTCATACGTCCTTACGATATCACCTTTCCCATATTCCGCAACATACGGGCCGCCTGCGATTTCTGCGATTAATTTGCCGAAGCAGAGGTAAACGAACTATGCTAACAGTAAGTTTTAGACTAGGAAGTTCTTTGGCTTCCTTTCCCTGCGGACATCGCTTTGACCGTCACCTACCATAATCTGCGAATGTTCAGTTTAGAAAAGTAAAGAGCAGTGAAATAACTTATTGGAAGCGGCACTACTACCATTTCTGCAAATTGACAGAAACCGATTGGCAGCTGGCAGGAATCGACCATTTGGTTGATCAGTGTGTCTCCGATAATTATAAAGAAGTAGAAACTCATAGAACACGTTAGCGAAAACGAGTTGTACATATTCGCCGAAAGATATAGCCCCAAGCATGTTTCTTCTTTGCGACTGGAAAAGGTAAGGCCTACTTACTCGCGAGCTCTTCTCCTATGTGCAGCTTCTTGTAGTTTTGTAAGGTTCATGGCATCCTCCAAGGTAATTTTCTGATAGGCACGGACAATGCTTGAGGCGTCAAAATTCTTCTTCTTCTCGTTCCTTACGAGAATCGGTTGTAAGAATTTCGCATTGAATTGCTCAAAGCTAAAACAGCAAATAGGTAAAGGCAACGCTGATTGACTAGAGTTATTTTGGTTCTACATACTTGTCGCGCAAGGTGTAGTGTCCCTTTTGCCCTGCAATGTCTTCCACACCAGACATCGCATAGTCGAGGTACTAAAAATTCAATATCTTTTCCTGTTTTGGGAGAGGAAGACGCTCACTTTATTGTATATGATTTCCGCCATCGTTGGAGGCCGATCATCCTTGGTCTTGACTTTCAAATAGTTCACAAGGGGACGGATGGTCATGCCCTGCAAACATGTCACAAGTCTTCGGGTGGAAAACTTATACGACACAAGAGAAGATTGAGAGCTATGACTTATTGTTTTCAACGTAGTTGGGTTGTTCCAAAAGTTCTACCTGTTTTCGAAGTTCAAGTCCAATCCACTATAACTACTTGCGAGTGTAATAAAGTGTATCACAATTTACAAATCTCTGAGAACTCTATGTGTACTAGAAACTATTGCAGGAACAGCGAGATAAATTTTTCAGGGGACGCCAAAAACCTTTCTTTAAGTAACTCCATTTAGAAAAATAAATAGTTTTATTTGGAATGTAGAAAATTGTAAAGTACGGCTCACTGCATAGTAACTGACAACTCTGGATTTCACCGACTTTTTTCATAAATAATTTTTGCAGAGGACCTCGAAAGGACCCACTTCCGCTCTCTGAGGTAGCAAAAAATGCACTCTTCTAACTTTTAGGTTTTGCTCAATCGAAGAAAATATTTCGCTCTTCTACTAAGAAATGCCCTATGCCTAATTTTATCACATAGAGCGAAATTTCCGTGACCGCATGGCACTTATGATTTTCATGCGACTTATAAGGACCATAGCTATGGGTCATGTTCATGCCAAAAATCTACAGATTCAAAATTCTTCCGACATTATATTTCGATGAGCATTTCGCAGAACAAGTTCCCAGCAAATTTCATGAATTTCAAAAAAACTCGCTCCTTTGGTTGTAGATTTCGTGGCAATAAAGCAGAAGAATTTTCGTATTTGTCTTGCGGTACTTACAATGTGCAACCTACACAGTGAACAAAGTTCCGTGAAAACGAAAGATGCACGAAAAACTAGATGAAACGAGCTTTCAAAGACACAAGTAATTTTCATGAAAAATGATTTTCCTCCAAAATCAGCAGTTTAAAAAGAGGTACGAAAAATGGGTAAAACACCACTGAATCAACCCAATATCAAAGCAAACGAAAGTGATCATTAGAGCTTTTTGATATTTTCTTCCCTGGCGTTGAGTCATTTTCATTATCAAGGCACACGGCACACTTCTTCCTTCCGATCCACTTCGTCCTTCGCTATTGGTCAAATCAGGGTATTAACCGATACCAGAGTGAATGAAGTGGATCAAATGAACATCCGCTTCGCTATTTTAGTTCACTGATTATCCAATAGTAAAGTGAAGTGAACAAGTGGGCAGATGGATCAAGTTTTTTTTTCAACCTATCAAACTTCCACACTGACGCAGAAAGAAAAAGGAAAGGAAATTGAGTAACCTGGAGGAAGACGGTGAAAAAGATCACAACAAGGGTGGTTGTAATGAACATCCTCCTTGCCAGTATTGTTTCTGGAATAGAAATAGCTAAACCAAACGCAATCGCTCCGCGTAGACCACCGTAGGAGAGGATTAATTGATCAACCTGTAAATTTCAACAAATGTAAAAGTGGAGTGAACTTCGCTGCGCTGCAACTCTGGAATGTCTCGCTTACCTTGGTGAATCTCTTGCCGCGAAATTTGTTTAAAAAGAAACATTGCACCAAAACACCTGCAACAATCTGATTAAATCTGTGAGGAAAATGCTGTACAATATGTTTCGACACATATTCGCTTGCAAACTTTGATTTGCTTACCATTCACTCAGACCATTTTTATATGTCTATCATATGTGCTAAAGAAAAGCGAATCTTCAAAAGTCTTTTATCTTTGCTCTTTTTTTGTGTGATTGGATTTTGTGCACGACAGGGTACTGTACTGGATGGTAAGCGGCCTGGGCTTTATTTAGAAAAATCTTGAATCAGAAAAAGCGAATATTATTACAAGTCGGCATTGAGTAATGCGTAGAAAGCTCTAGTACGATGCCATGGCCTCCACCAAATTTGATAAGAAAAAGATCCAAAATACTTGAGAGGTTATGTACTGGACGGCTAGAAAATTTAGGAGACTTTATAATGAAGATAAATTTCATTTTTAACATGACGCAACACGGAACCACCCAAAAAGATGATCTGCCCGTTTTTCGTAGGAAGCTATTGCGCTCTGAGATAGTTCTTGACAGTAAAAGAACGCAGAAGATAAAGATGCATAAAGCACGGACAATCTATATCGCCCAGTAGGTGTCTTTGTTAATGTGTGCAACTGCACAATTTCCAAATTGTTGACGATAAGGCGCCGACAGTTCAGTTAAGAATTGCATGAAATGTTTCAGATATACATGCTTTTCCAAACGAGGATGTGCTAACGATAAGCTATAAGAATAACAGAGAAGAAAACCCGAATCATCTCAATGCCCCTGGTCCCATTTTAAAGCATATGCATTTGCGCGGATGAGATAGGAAGGCTGCTCCACTACATTTATCTGGTTTAAGCAGCATTTTGTGACAATTGAAGAAAAATGTAAGGATTGATACAGTCTGTGACTGACAAAAGTTCACTAACCAATTGTTCTGAAGAGTAGACAAAACACGACAGAGGCCACCACAAAAGCTGTATCCCAATAGTGCTCTGAGTACATCGTGGAAAGACCCAAGAACCTATAAATGTGAACCAGAAGCTACTCCGTTTGTGAAAAGTTTATTTATTTACTTTATACGCTCAAAATGCCATAGTCCTAAACAGGGCTCGGCACGAGGTGGCTAGATGAAAATGGAAAAAACGAAGTCCCCCTTGACTTTTGGGAATTTTTACGAAGTCCCCTTTGACCCTCAACCAAATTTCCTATAAAAACCTGAAAAATTCCCCAAAATCCCCCAAAAAACGAAACGTCGACTAAAAAAAAAAAAGGTCGCCGTCGCCAATTTTCCGTATCTCTTCGGTCACAAAAACGAAACCCCCTTTGCTTTTCGTCCCAAAAACGATATCCAGCTTGCTTGTAAGCCACCTCGTGCCGAGCCCTGGTCCTAAATGAGTAAGCATACCGATAACAATCAATTTGAGCACACAGAGATTTATTTTTATTGTGTAACTTAGAATCAAGAATGCAGAAGAATAAAATAGTAGAATTGAAAGTAAAAATTACTCGAAGTCAGTTCAAATACCCTAGCAAAATGGCAAGACCTTAAGATCGAGCTGCAAAAGCATGAGCAGGCAAAGATAATGCAACAAAGCGACATTTTCGCTTTAAACTAAGTAGCCTTCTTTATAATCTCAATTACCGTAATGAGAAGGTCTCAGTCGATTTAAGAAGTTTCTCTGTACAGCACCGAAAAGAAGGCGCTGGAAAAATCACTTGGTTCATTTCTGCGAAATTTAGCCAAAAGTCAGCCAATAAAGCTTTTCAGAGATTTCAAATGCTCAAGCACGAAGAAACTATTGTACATATAGCTGCATTTTCTATCTGCTTACTCTCAACTTGGTACTAAAAAATGCTACCTTTGCCAAGAAAGCCAGACAACAGAGTGACTATATTATCTACTACTTCAACAAAAAAAGTACATTTAGCCATGCACTTACCTTTCCTTTTTTCGATCCATTCTGACGTTTACGTAACACAGAATTATTTTCAAACTCTCTGGGGGTTCAGCATATTTTATCTCCTTGCAAATATCGAGACAATTTGTGATACTGATGAAAGCGCATTCGTGCAAGAAGCGCTAAACTTGACACATGTAAGGCCCCGGGCATACCTCACGCGATTTCAGTCGCGACGCGATTCGGCAATACTTCAGTTGCTTACAACTCGCCGCATTCTCATTTTCAACACACAGAAAATAGCACATTTTATCGACTCACAAAAGGAACTCATTAAGCATCTGTGATCTGCAAGTGTTGGGTTTGAAGAGATCTGGTAAATGGCCAAATCGTGTGGAGACTGCAATCGCGCGAGGTATGCCAGGGGCCTAACGGGGGGGGGGGGGAGGGGGGGGGGAGGGGAGTAAGCAACATAGTCAGCCTCATTTTCTGATTTTAATAGACAAAAGCTAAGCATGATGATACCAAGCTGTTTAGTGTTCAAAATCAAATATAATACTTTCACTTCGGCTTAAATCGTAAGTGTAGCTGACTTCACTTCGTAATTCGCTAGTGTAGCAATATGGCTATAAGAAGCCTTCTGTGGGGGTTTCTGACTCTGAAGTAACAAAGGAATGATAAAGATGGATGTTAGATGAAAGAAGGTGATAATATTCTTAGCAGGGAACGATACTTGGTGACCCCGGCCATTCATAATGGCTTATATCAAAAAATGTCCCTTTTAATGATGGTTCGAATACTGTTTTCTACATCTGCGAAACGAGAACCTGGATGGAGTTATGATTATTTTTTCAAAAACAAATTGCGCTACTGTGGAGGGTGAAAATCCTCAATAAAAATTTTTCTTTCCTCTTCAAATGCTGAATATGGTTTAGATAGGTATAAATACAACGTTATACCTTCAAAGATTCTCCTCAATAGCTACAAACGGAAAAATAGAATCAAATTGGGTGATTTTTTAACTACCTAAAAGTACGCAAGTTTTCCACGAAAAAAATTCATAACTGCCTTCAAATGATCGCTTCGCAGATCTCGAGCACAGATTCAGAATCAGCGTTTCGAGATGCACCTTACGGTATACATCGCATTCCACATAGCCGGGGTCACCAAGTATCCTTTCCTTGTTAGAAAAGACGCAAACATTATTTCTGCATACAAATGCTATCAAACGAATGATCATTATTAGTGCATCGGACTCCGGATCAGGGAATCTTTCTGCTTTCTCCTTCTATAAGGGCAGCGTCAAGACAAAAGGTCTTCAGTCTTTCACTCTTTTGGAGCTTCTAGCCATGATAAGCCTATGCCTTGGCTTTGCAGCGCATGGAATTGGCGAAAAAACCTTTTACGAAGCTATGGAGGTCCGCCTGTAGTGAAAAATCCGTGCAAGTAGGCGGGGTCTGGAATGAGGAGGGCGGGGTCCGGAAGACTTCTGCAGTGAGTTTTAGGCTTCCCACACGCGTTTTTTCGCTTCAGACTTTACTGATAATATAGTAAGAGGGGGGGGGGGGAGCGGAAAGGAAGATGTTTGTTTTGCAATGCAGTGAAATCGCAGCACACTTCACCTTGCCGAGAGGCTGCTTCGAATAACATCATTAAGAGCTGTGCTTTCGAAACAAGAAACATGACTATAAGCATGCAAAAGATACCGTTTTTGATGTTTCGAGCAGTTGAAGACGGCCCCAAAATTCTTTGAGTACTTACATAAAAATCACTGTCTCTGAAGACTGAGCCAGCATTTTGACGAAGTACTTGACTGAATTACCAGCAGCTGTAGAGATGTTTCCTTTGACATATTGTTTCATAATCATTCCACATACAGCAATTCTAAAACATGCGAAACATTGATTTGTGGAACAAAAGCGAAAATTTCCAATAATCAACTGAACTCAAGACTCACGCTATTATGGAAGATAGTGAGGTTACTTCAGCAGTGAGGTAAGCCATATATGGGATCACAAATATGAACACTGGAGCCAAGATGCGTACTTGATTAGTGTACCTGTAAAAGAGCCCAAGCTACAGTTCCTCATTTCGACAGTCACCTACGCAATTGCACAACTTTTCTAATTCACGTCAAGCTTTAGACTATGGCCTGCTCGTGATCGTTTTCATAATCTTTCACTTTTTCAATAGCCTGTATTCGTGATGGTAACTCCACCACCACCGACCTGTTCTTAGCAAATTTTAAAAGTGGTGCAAATCACGCGTGAAGCTATAAGCTATCATGAGTTCGGCTACACTTAAATGGAAAACTTCATAACTTCCTCAAAATTTTTCCTTACTTTCGGACCACGTGGAGGGTTGTAGCGTTTTGTTACACATGTAACACATGAAAATTTCAATTTTTGACTTCCCCAGAAAATTTTCGGAATTAGATTTGCAAGTTTCCAACTTACGTTTTTGAGGAGCTCAAACTTCCTAATGGCCTTTGTAAATACTTTTATGATTCCGCAAGTTCATAAAAAATCCAAAAACGTGAAAAAGGAAAATGAAAGATTTAAAGAAAGAGAAAAATGAAGGTTGAAGTGCTGTTACAAAATTGCCTTTGTATGCACTGTAACCCATGTTCTTAAATGTAAATTGTTCCCATTGTCATTTCTTCATATTCAAAAATGAGATTTTGCCAATGTTTCTAGAATTCTCGCAAAGAGATGGAAAAAGTGTAAGAAAAGGTTACTTCTCAAATTGTTAGAAACATACCGCTTTCTGTTTAGGAGAAAGTTAAAAGAAATCTGAAAAGAACTGAAACCGACTTAGTCATCCAACTGACAAGGATGGCAGCAATAATGCCTAGCAGAGCTCCCCCACAAGCAACTACGAAGAAGGATAGGGCTGCAGCTCCGTAGTCAATGGGCTTGATGTTTGCTGGACCAATCAGGGTGAAGCTTTTGAACATTTGATACAAGACCTGAAAAGTGTGGTTAGAGAAATGGTTGCCATTTAGAATAGTGCCCTATCATTTAGATGTCTTCTTATTTGAAGATTTGGGCATGCAGGGAGTGTTTCAGCAATCTTCTGCTTTTCTAACGTTCAAAGCCAAGGGTTCCATTTGAAATTTTGCAGACACTCAGTTCTGCGCGGACTTTCTCTACTGCACCTTTAAACCATTGTTTTAGCATAAAGCGATTTAAAGCTTGAGAAGACACCATTTTGGACGAACTGCATGAATCTAACAGTTGCTGGATATAATCAAATCATTCTATAGTGTTATCTAGATATTGGCGAAACATGCGCGAAGTTTGAGTATTAGGTAAAAGTGCTCGAACTGCTGATCCGACTTATATTATAGTAAGGATACCAGTATGCAGCTTGACCGTTTTTTAGATGATGAACTGTAGACATTACCAATTGTGTGGATGGCATGAAGGGCATAAATTATATCTGCAAAAATAGCCTAGTCCCAGTTATTAAGTCTCGAAAATATGCGGTAATCTCACTGATCTTCGATTTTCCTCTTTTCTGAAAACTTTCAGGAGAATCAGTTATCATACTGAAGGAACTGCCTTCAACTTGGATTTACAGTTTGAAAAGGTTACCTATTCTGTAGAATTACGATAAGAACTTTCTCTTCAACTACGTACCACAGTAACTCCATCGTTGAAGAGCGCCTCACCAAACACATTCACGAATATAAATTCGTTCACTTTGATCTCTTCGAACACTGCAATAACGGCCACCTGAACAGGTCCACCTGACTTTCATTCCCTATGCATGCTGCTGGGAAAAGTGCAACTGACAGGATCTACTGCTGAGATCAGAGCGGAAAATACGAAAATTTCCGTTGTCGAAAATGCCATGGAAAATACACCATAATGTGACAGAAGCAGCAGCGAACCTCCTAAAAAGTACGGCAATGAGTAGAACTCGCACTCGCGAACTTTAATGTTTTTGAGGTAAACATGCAAGCATTCCAGAAGCAACTTGTTTTCAAGACCGTGCCCTAATTTCTCAAATGGAAGACACACCTTTTTCACTTTTCCAAGCAAAGAGCTTGGCCGCACAATTGTGCCTTACGGAACGGTCGCTTTTCTAAACAATTCTTTGGGTCCTTTCAACGAAAACAAAATTTTTCGATGTGGGTAATCAAATTCATAGGATGCGCCTTGTACTCGTGATTAGGGGTGTTCTTCTTCTTATTGAGGAAATTAGCTTTATTATTAGTATTTATTGTCCTAATTATTGTAGCATAATCAATTTATTTAGCTCTTACCTATCAAAGTACAAAAAATGCTATTTTTTTATTGGAGACTGGGTAACTTTATGCAAAACACATCAATCATAAATCGCGTACATCATCAGCATGACCTTCACGGAACTTGATTGTTGTTTTATATTAAAGTCCGATTACCTATGGCTATGCTGTTCCAGATAGTCCCTACGACGGCAAACAGAAGGACAGAGTCGATGTTTTCAAAAAGTGCTCTGTTAGGCATGAAGTATCCTACAAAAGAAAATGAAAGCAATCCGGTTACTCTCGAACTTGCTGTAAGTGCTACTCACCTGCATCGAAAATGATTGGTGGCAGAAGATAGAGAAAGAATACATGAGAGTTTAGTGAGTATGCGATACTAGCACCTGATTGCTTAAGAATCAAGCCGAGCAAGAGCCCTACCACAATTAATAGTGCAGAGTCTGGTAATTTCGAAAGTGGTTTGAAGAGGTGGAACACTGAAAAGTTTTACGTATAGGTTGTCCCAAAGGTATGTATACACTGCTTGACCGTTGATATCTCTTCTATCTTTAGCCTGCCTTCAGGTACCGTTTTTTGAGCCGGCTTTAACTTAAGTTTACAGTATGGTGTAAATCACGTCCCTCTTCATCACATTAAATTAAGTAGAAACTTCCAGATTCAGCACTATTGTAAGCTTCCTTTTCAAATAAAACAGTATTAATCGCACGCTGATTTCAATATTTAACCTTTCACGAGACTGTGATGCTTTTGAAACGATGTAGTTACATTTTATAGGAACAACAAAAGACAGCTGCTACCGTATATCTAGCAAAACGCTTCAAAAATAGTTATAGTGAAATTCAACGTACATATCCAGGATTAGCAAGTTCATTTAGCTTAGTGAATGTTGAATAGTTTAATTTTTCTGAAAATATGGTCTTCAATGGCCCAAAACACTCTCCAAAGTTCCTACCATAATCCTACAGTAATGAGGAATGATCGGTGATTTGCTTCATGCTGCAGATCTAAGTGGGGACAACTCTGCGAAACGATTCTGAAGTTAGGCAAAGACTTCTTGGGAAAAGCGATGCTATCGATCAAAAAATGCATATATACTTTTGGAACAGCTTGAATGATGTACAAAATACATATTTCTTTGCCTGGAGACTGTAGTGCTCTTTTGAGATTGGGAAGAAATTTTAAAAGGAAGAGGAATTTCGAAAAAGTCTATCAACATGAGTTGAGGTGATTCCTGCTGGTAAGCAGAAAATATTTCCATGAAACAAATAAGTCTGGACAGATGGTGAATCTGGAATACTCTCGGAAATATCTCAAGGGTGGAATTACACCGCTCCATTCAAGAAGACTTTCGTTTTACACGCTCACCTCACCTGCCCCAAAAAAAACTCTGTCCGACCCCCCCCCTCAACATATGTACATAATAAGCATAAGTGTAATATCTGCTCAAAATAATGAGACAGTGCATAAATAAAAGTCACCAGTTTAGACTCACAAATTTTTGCCAGAGCTGCTATCAATAGCCATGCGGTGATCATATAAGGTGTTTCGTTTTCTTCCCAGCGAAATGTCATCACCTAAAATTCCGAGTTTCTTATCTTTGGTGACTAATATATAGAAATGTTTTGAAATATTGGTTCAAAACTCAAATCTGACCTGATACCGAGATTGCGTTTCTTCTACATGGTCTTCTTGGGCAGCTAAGTATCGAAACAAAATAAATGACAGAAAAATACAGTTCCGCCACATTAATAGCTTGCTCTTTCTAGAAAAATGTCACCCTTTCGTCATTCGTCGGCATAGCGATTACTAATCATTGAAGGCACAAAGGAATGCCAAAAGAGATAGAAAACGTTCCAGATGTTACCTCTGAAACACCACAAACGACATTTCAGTGAAAGTGGATGACGTTCATGTGATCCAGTGTGATTGAGAAATCCACGATGATAATAGTGCTAGTATTGTATGTAGAGTTGATAAGAGCCTGTTTGGTCATTACACTGCGGTCGCAACATTGCCTTGGATAACCGAATTAAGTGCATTCTCTTGCTTCGCTTACTTTGAACTAATAATTACCTAGAAAATTGAGACGAAGAGCCCACTAAAGCTTTTTCACAGCCTGGATAATTATCATTATTTAAAGTGAAATGTTTTAGCCTCTGCTATTTTCAACAAATTTAATGATCAGGGAGCTCTAAATAAAGCCCTAACAAAAGGCTGTCATATTGCCATTTGCATCCCTTCCTTAATCAAAATCGTGTCACAATTTTCACCTAGTTCTCTTTCCGCTTGCTACGAAATGGAGAGCGAGAATATTTTTTTCCTTTACTTTTATTAATGGGTTCTTTTCTGGTTTTAGATCTCACATTTTCTTTTCATATTCATCTTATCACTCAAATTTGTCGTTGCTTATCTTTCTTGCGTGTTCGTTGAAGTTCATTAAAATTGAAAACCATGCAAAAAGATTATTCAAGTGTGAAAGGCGGTTCAGAGGACATATTAGGTTGATGCATAATTACTGCACCGAAATTTTTGAAATCTATTACTTTCTCTCATTGGAATTTCCTGACTTGATACATAAAAAAGTGAAAAAATCTTGCACCTTTCGGACATGCCTGAATCAAATCGTTGATGGCATATGGTAACTATATGAGCTACAAAAAGTGATTTTTCGAATTATGATCGCTAAAATCGCTTGAAATTCTACCGACAGGTTGAGTTTTTGGCCTTGTTTGTATGACCTACTCTTTCTAACTAAGTGGTTGTGATCGGATGTCTTCACGAATAGCTATAAATATCAATTTTTTTGTTTCAACTTATTGATTTTGTATCAAATTGATTTTCTCATGTACTATATCAAATACTAATATCGATGTATTAGGTCGTTCCATAAGTTCGTAGCGTTTTCTTTTCGTCGTCGTTTTCTGGTGAAGCAGTTGGTTTACGGCAAATTATCTGGTATTATTCGTATTATTCGAAACAGCCAAGTTTTTTCTACAAAACTTGCTTGTTGTTTTTGAAGCATTCCTGATGAGCCTTGGTTCATAATTTCTCAAAGCAAAGCTTTTTGAGTGGCAGAAAATGACCATTTCGGCATTTGTGTTTTCGCATTTGTCCAAATCCCACAAATATTTCTCTGTATGTATAGTCGGAGTAGCAAGTAGCAAGCAACGCTGATGTGCTGACACGATGGTGTCCAGCCATTATACTGAGAATTGTTTGAACGAAATCTCAAAAGTTGCTGTCTTCGACTGCTGCAGCTTGAGTTTTACGCTTCGTTTCGTAACAGAATGTTCTCGTCCTGCTATCAAGCCTTGAGCGATGAACAGCTTTGTCTAAGTGGTACAAAAGTTTGAATGCAACCGGTGACCAGCGATTTCATGCTTTTCCGAAAAATTTTGGTTCAGAAAACTTCCTCATTCCGGCTAAACGCAAAACGTCTACACATGTCGTAAAAGTGCGCTTTAACATTCTCTGTAGCGTCTCCCTTGACAAGGATTCTTGTTCTACGTGCATCATAGTCCAGTAAACAGTATTCTTCATCACTCAAAACAATTTCGAATAGAAATTTTCCTCTCGTAATTTTCGTATATAGTGCCGAAGATGGAGATGCCGAAAGCGCCATTTTTTGCTACACAAAAAACTCTGCTTTGAGCAGTCACAAAACAAAGGTCATCAGGTTTACTTTGAAAATAAAACGCAATTCTTGTAGAGTAGAATTGGCTCTTTCGGAGGGTACACACATTTTGCGGTAAACCTACCGCTTCGCCAGAAAACGACGACAAAAATAAAAACGCTACGAACTTATGGAACGACCTAATACATAATGGGGTAAATTTGTTATTTTGTGCAAGCATTTTTGAGAACAATTATTTTCAATTTTTTGGTGCAAGAATTGTGCACTAACCTAATATATCAAAAGTTGCCGAGTTTTGAGTGTAGTACTAATACTCAGGCTTGGTGACATTTTGGCACACAGATAGTTGGAGCTGTTACATGGTTAGCAGAACGAAGAAAGAAATAAAGAAACTTTCACCTCTTCTTCAAAACCTTGTAAGCAGCTGAAATGTTGCGAACATTTTACACAACCTAAGAGGTGATTTAGAGAAATTTGACCAAGTGACACCATAAAATCATGCTTTACCACTGAGGGAAGGTTCGAGTTTCGAGTTGGATTTTAGCATTTAGTTCGCAGACTATTGTCAAACAAACAATAATCGGTCATAACAGTAATCGTAACATAGTAATAACAATAATCGTAACATCTAACTGGAAAAAGTGGGCAATGGTCGAAGCGACCCGTGTCAGTCGTTGTGATCGATGGATAGTTGTAGATGATAAGTCGGCTTAGTCTAATGCAAACTGTAGTATATCACACGAATGCAATGATGTAGCTATGCAATAATATGGTCTGCTGTCTGGTATGCAAATCATTTATGTTTCTTCATTGTTCCTGATTTCACGCATCATCGAATTGTGACTTGAACAAAGTCGAGGCAATGAACCATATGATAAAATTCTGTATCGAGTAATTTTTCAATGGAAAAAACCTTCGATTCTCCTTAAAGCGCCACAAATGTTGAGATTTTGCTTTCTTTTTTCCTCCTCTTTCCTCTGTTGATACTTTGAGAAGTTATTCGCATCAGCACTGAACTCATGAAATTCATATTTCAAAAAGGTCTTTCGAAAAATCCAAACAACCAAAGTGCATCATGTAAAAGGAAAAGTTCTCCGAAAATAAATTTAAAAGTTTTATGTTATTTGAAAGATCTTTACTTTCTTTTTCATTCGGCATATGACGTTCTGTCATCCAACAGATTCATTGCTTTTAGAATGGACTTCGAGAGGTGGTATCGTTTGACTTTGATAAGAAGAAAAACAAAGAGACATGATTTGTGAAATGATTATCTCAAACAACTCTTCTTCAAAGCAAGGATTTTTTACCTTTGGAGGAAACTTCAATAACATTTTTTTACAGTCTATCTGCTCATCTACAGAAGTCTTAGGATTTTTTTTTCCATCATACAGCCAATAACTTCTGAAAGTAATGTGCACCTCCTCCACCAAGTTTCTAAATAATGGAGGCCAGATAAAGTATATATTTTCCGAAAGCGTATAATGAGGCGGTTCCAACGAACTTTTATTGGTGTCACACCTCATCTGCAGAGCTATTATTTCTAAAATCCGATTTGTAATTGTGGAAGACGCAAGTTGCTATTAGTGTATATGGTGAGTGTATGATATGACTGATAAAATTTTAAGCGCAAAAATGTTGATGATAGTGATGAAAACAGTGATCTAGTGCGGCGAAATTGAGAAGATACAAAGCCAGTAATTTGCAAACTAATTTCCCCGAAACATTCTGCGATACATATGATACGATGATCAGTGTTGCCTATCTTCTCTTTCGAATGCGCCACGCGCTCGACCTCAATTCAACATCGTAGTCCATGAAACGCCAATTTATTTTAAGAGCAGCCTCTAGAAAAAATTTTCGATTTAGTTTACTAATCTGAAAGATAGGTGATACAAACGAGGCCAGTTTGAAGAGATGTATAATGTACATACAGCGTGCGGCCCAAGTATGGAAGCCGACTTTGCAGTGTTGTAAATTACAAAACTACTAATGATTTTGATTCCATTTATGCCGCATAATGCTGCGACCTCTACAAATCACAACTTTACCTAGCAATGCCTGCCATATGTTTTTGCAAGATTTGTATTTCCTGATACTGACAGTTTATTTATTATACCTTTCAATTATTATATTTTCATGAAGTTGAAAATACTATGATAAGAAAGAGTGTATATTTTACAGCACTTTGATGCATACCGGGTACGCTTGCCTTCTGTAATTCCAAAATTCTTTCCTAAACATTGAAAAATTGAGATTGATGTCTTGCCGACGCCGAGATTGTTACAAACTTACAAACTTTCAACTTATGAACTACGCCGAGATTTATCGAGAGTCGTACATGTTATTGTGAAATACGTTCTCAACATTTTGTAGCCAAAAGCTTGCTCTACACGCATTTGCCTGGAAAAAGCAGTTCTTGAAGGCACGGGACGAATTTCATTACGATTACCTGCGAGCCCCTACAGGAGGATTCGCCAACTGAAGGGCAGCTCTGAAGCCAAACAGCAATCTCAGAGTTTGAGAGCTGCGCCATATTTGTAAAGATAATTGTGGTGCACTAAACTTTTCTCTTCTAGGTACTTTTCTTTTGATTCTATCCGAAAAGTACTAGGCTCCCAGACTTTTGCCGCACCCTGTGTAGACATCATATAGAGTACCAGTGCGTCACCTCTGCTTCGCAGAGGCTCGCACTGGCCCTACTATCTGTATGCCTTACTCATTCTCGCACAATAATGATATTGGAACTCACCGCCGTATGCAGACTATCACGAATGATTTGTAAACAACCATTCATTCCAAAAGCTTTTCCATATGAGATCGGTAATTTCGCATGAACGAAACTTTTCTCGAAAAAACAAATGCAGATTTGAGTCGGTTTTTGGACTTTTCATGGCTTGATATTCGCGGTAAGATGCCATAATCACCGTGGCCTACATA